TAATTATTTTGTGATGATATTAGAGCTATTAACATGTTGTTACTCCCTAGATTTCGCTTCCAATAGCTTATTTCTTTCTTTAATCTTCTTATCCGATATTGGTGAAATTGTAAACCAAATTGCTAGTTCATAGATTGTGGCATATGACATCCTATGAATAAGTAGAGAGAAGATGATTAGCATGATGGCAAGTACATTGCATACAACTCCATGCTACATTTCCTTGTGGTACTAAGCCATAGCAGATGTAGAAGTTTCACAATTGTTCATATAAATGTAAATATTTTTAATTTTTATTATGTTCATTTTGAATTTGGAGTAGTATGCAAGAAATTCGAACGTAACAAATATCTAGGGTCGCATGGTGATTTGTAATGCTTCACTAAATTAATATGGCCTAAATTAATAACCTATGATAATTAATATGTGAGGATCAATCCCAAGTCGGATCCATAGATTTATTAATAAACATCAAAAAATTAATAATTAATACTTCACAGGCGATATTGAATATATTTTATATTGATAATCACTATCGCGGCTATGAATTTGGCACAAACTTTCTACATTTGGTCAATTAAACCTTGGAGAAATACTCTGAGATTGGTTTCTACACGAGCTTGCTAGACCTCATAAAGTTGATCTTGTCCTTGACTATCTAGCCCAAAGCATCTCATGGTCGACAATGTCTTGCTACATCTAGAACTGATGCAACAAACTTGCACACTGCAGTGTTTCAGTTATTTTCATGGGAATGTTGTGGTTATGGTTGTGGGTCCATGCTATAACAGGTGAATGTCACGGCTCACGAATGTCACAAATGACGCGAACCGAGAATTATTTATTGACACTATCTTTATTAATATACTGTCTATATTAATACAAAACCGCAGTATTAACTTAGTAAATTTCTACTGTAGTGAGTATCTCATTCTTTTCCACAAATGTAATAACAAAGAATGTAAGTGATTCAAATGGAATCCAAAAGTACATCTCTCATTGTACGTTTTTCGCATGTGAAGACTGCTAAAGTATCACTAATATGAAATTATCATAAAAGTAAAAAAGTAGTCAAAACATACATCAAACCATACAAGATACAACTTAATATTTAAATTGTTAATTTATCAAGCACAAGAGTCAAAACATACATGAATGGAGTATACAATTATTCCCTTATCAAGAAAAATATACGAAAGACTTTCTAATAGCTACTTAGCATTTGAATGATGAGAAATGACATATCTGATATAATAACCTCAATAAGAAGTCACTAGCTCTAATAAAGAATATAAATTTTCCACATCTTTCTTATGAGTTAGTATAATATATTTTTACCTAGCACATGAAACAAACACATGCTATTCATACTCAATAAGTGTTATTCCAATGACTTACAAAGTTTCTCATAAAAACATACAAGTTTTCTTGAAGTCGCAAAACAAAGCTTTTCCATTATTCTTAGATTTCTACTATAAAACATGCAAGTTCAAGATACGATAGATTGTGTTATATGTTGGACAAAAATCAACTTATACATGTAATCTCTTTTATAAAGAGTTTGTCCATGTGCTCAACTTCGACTCCAACAACTTGGAAAAAAAATAACTACCATGATAGCTATATTTTGTCACCAAGTCATTGTTTACTAATTTGTGAATAGGAACAATATACATAGCTATCAAGTTGAAATAAAACCATAAATAGCAGCATCATCAAGTATTTTGGTGAAAATCTAATCAATACAATCTTCTCTCCATTTAAAAATATCAATAGAATGATATGCAAACGCTCACATTTTTATTAGTTAATTTTTTTCAGTTTACTCATCAACTCTAACTCAAAAACAAGGCAAGATATTCTTTCACAACGTGGCATATATGTAGTATTGGAAAAGAAATAGAACTTTTTGGTTGAAAGATATAAAAGATTTGGAATCAAGAATAGATTTCTATTGCTTTACTGCTAACCATCTCTAAAATGATTTGGGAAACTCATGTAGCTTTCTTGTCAAGAAATCTTCCTTCAGCCATAAGAAATGTCATATTTTAATTTCATCAAATCTTTGTAAAATCATCATAAAGAACTGACTTTGGATACTCAAAGATTTATAAGTTGATCTTGCCATTCAGAGTCGACTCATCCCTTACAAAAGAGAGTTCTAGAACTTCTAATATGTGACAGCAACAAGAAATTAGACACAATTTTCATATGAAATCTATACAACATAATACAATTTAAAATATATATCATATAATATATATAAATATATCACTATAATTAAAACTAAAAATATAATACGATAATATATTAATTTTTCCATCAAGAACTTACACCAGAGTATATAATTTCAATTTTATCATTCACAGTGTATAAGTATAGTGTGAAAAAAAAAATTTGATTGGAAAGGCCTGGGACTTATGAATATGCACTACAGCTCAACGAAAGGTACACATGTGGAGGAAAAGTGAGTATACCGGTCACGGACACATAGCCGAGTCCTGACGAGGCTCAAGTCCGCCGTCAAGTCCTGAAGTACTTTGTACAATCCTGTTTCATCGCTGTACGACTCGATGCCGGTGGGGTCTTCCCATCGAGCCTCCCCTTGCTTCCGAGCACAGTACAAATCGGCAAGTCAAGACTGTCATTGCAGCTGAAGATTTGTGTATTCGGACAGAGACCATCAACCCGGACATGTAGTCAAGCCAAGTCAAGGCTGTCACACATGTCCATACTCGATTGGAACACCGAACATGAAACCTCGAGCACCGCAACCTTCAAGTATCCGAAGGGACAATGCGTGCTGCGGTTTGGAGGGAAGTTTTCTGCATGCTTGACATTTATGGTGCTTGACATTTACGTACTGTATTAGGGGTCTAGCCCCGACTTACCTGTTCGGCTTTATAAAAATCGGAGGTGGGGCCATATGGATATTTCATAATATTTGATGTGATATTCTCATACTTTTGTTATATGATATTCATTATATAATTTATTGTTATATTGGAGTAAGCTCTGGTTGGTTTCTCATGTATGGTCTCATATGGTCTTCCCAAAATTTTGTATATCTTATCTACTTGGCTCCATTGACTTACTTGGTCTCCCTTCTATTTACCTTACATATAAGTCCAAAGGCTTTGTTTCAAAGTCAGAAAGTAGCCTACAAACTTTAAGTTAATGAGTAAAGATACTCGGATCTGATCTGGGTAGGTTCTTTGACCCCGTGTGTGTGGAAGTAACCTTAATACATGTCCCACCTATTGCTGCAAATAAAGCCGAAATGGTGAAATTTACACATCATCGTAGAATTCTGATTATGTTTATAGTCTCTGTTACCATCTTGTCCACTAAGGAGGCCAAGTAACTACCCAAAAACAGAAGGGAAGATGCCGTCAAGGCATCGTCATATCAGAAGGCAACATCTTGCTGAAACAAACCGATGAGCAATCAACACACAAGGTCATGAAGAAAAAACTCTGCTATGATCCAATGACCAAATGACATGGTAAGAACTAGGAGGAAATAGAATTAAGAAAAGAATCCGAGCCCTGGAATAGATCAACAACCTTCTTCAATTTGTGCAGCAGAACGAAATCTTGATACATAAATACCTACATTAATTGCTGCACGAATTCCTCTATTAAATAAGTCAGCTGTAGTCCCCGCCTCTTAAGTTGTGTAGGAATGTTTATGTTATAATTATGCATGACATTGTGCGATTCCTCAGAAATAGATCATATTCTTATTCTACTTCCTGTTTATTCCGTCGATCCTGCGGTGGAGCATTGCTATCATGCAGACTGGTTATCAACTATGCAGAGAAAGATCACGTCAGAGTGCTGCTTTATAATTGCTCGTTCTAGGCTGTGACTCTCCTACCTGGAATTGGAAGTGTTCAATTATTTTGAATAGCATGTTCCCTTCTGATAATTCCTTCGGCATAAATAGTAACGGATCTCCTCACATGTGTATCTCGTAAGAAGAGTTTGAACTGTGTCACTTGACCAAATCGAGGCTAGACATTTTAATGATGTTCTTGACTTGCTAGAACGCAGATATTCCAGTCATCGGAACGCAGACATTTTAGATCGGGTTATGTCTGCGTTGAATATACCCCGAGCTCAAAGAATACTTGCCACAACAGACAAGTGAAAGTTCTAAACCAAATATGATGTACAGATTTCGAAGAAAATAAAAAAATAAATTTGAAAAAAAAATAATTTAAACTTTTCCGATACAATGCATGGACGGAAGTTAAACAAAACTATAAGCGATAGAATAGTTTCCCCCAAAAACATCTGTAGTCATGGAAGCTTTTAGAGAAGTTTCATACGACGACTATACCCTCAAACTCTGTCGACAAGGGTAGTCGACATAAACTGAACCAGTTGCTGAAGGGAATGAGTTACTTTTCTAAATCTTGTTATGCCATTGGACGCGTTCACGACGCCTTTCACTTGTACTCGAACAAGGTACAGGAGTGGTGCGCCACGAGAAGTTTACCAAAGACTTCATATGCCTCATCACCTCCTTAAAGTATTGCACTCAAACTCAAATATTGCACTCACAGGGTCAAGCAGTAACCCAACACTGTAATACTTCTATGTTATTCTATTAACGATTCTCGCTTATGATGCTTGCTTGCAAATGGATTTCCGAGAGAGGTTAGATAGAGCATCATTCAGCATCCTTCTGAGCACGAAACAGTCAACATCTAGGAAGTTTCTAGGATTGATGTCGCAGTTCTAGATAAACTGTGTACTACTGTCAACAAATTGACCGAGAACAAAGTTTGATACTTTTCGTCTGACCTCAAACATTCGAAGACTTTTGTGGACTGCGATCATGGCCTCCAGTCAAAGACGTTAGATGCGAGAATAAGGTATGGGCATCTAAAGGTCGAAGATCTTACCTCAATCAGCATCTCCGGATCAGAGGCCGCTCGCTGCAAGCAGTATATAAGGAGAAGCAGGCAGTCTCAGTTCCATAGAATTGTCAGATCAAGAATTGTTGAGGATCAGTGAATTTAATCAGGAAGGCTGACAGACCTGTGTGAACAGATACTAACAGATACAGTTGGTGATTGCGATTGAGCTGCCATTCGGTCAAGAAAGCAAAAATGAATCGACAACAGTTGCTGGTTCTGTGGTTTGCAGTTTCTTGCCTGAGCGGAGGGCTTCCTGTGGTGCTCGGTCAGTCGGGCAGTGGTATATACACGACGTACCATTATTACGACCCGGCGCAGAACGGCTACAGACTCGACGGTCTCTACTGCGCGACATGGAGAGCTAACGAATCACTACAATGGCGAAGCCAGTACCCCTGGACTGCATTCTGTGCAGGTCCTATGGGTGAGGCACAATGCGGAAAGTGCATACGTGTAAGAACCCCGTCGGATCCCTCGCCTTTTCGCGTCGCTGTCTCGAGATCATACATGCTTGTGTAAAAGTCATGGTCTTCTAGGCTCTGTCTGCAATGTTGGATCCTATAGTGAGATTTTCGTGCAAGACCATAATTGGACATGCATGTACAGAAGTCATGGTATATATAGGATTGGCTGCATCGAGGGTACCCACCTCTTGCAGCATTTTGTTGAGCCAGCAGCCAGCCGAAACTTTATCATGGTTTCATTCATTCTGGAATCTGATGACAGTAATCAGAATATGATCCCCAAGTACCTCGAGTACTAATGAGTCTAACACCATCCTTTCACGATGAAATGAAAGACTCGGTTCCACTTCAAGCTCGAACTTCGTAAAGCAGACGAAGAGAACTTTGTCTCAAAAGTCTGCTGAAAGATGAACACAAGATCAAGAAATTGATTTCCTGAAGCTGCATGAATTGATGGATCGATGTCGGTGCTTGTGCAGGTGACAAACCCGTCGACCGGCCAGTCTGTGGTGGTTCGTATTTTGGATAAATGTGCTAATGGAGGGCTGGACTTGGACAGGATTCCGTTCAACCAGATCGATTCCAACGGACAGGGCTATGCTGCAGGGCACATGACAACCAGCTACACATTCGTCAACTGCTGAAGAGAACGAGCAGAAGAGGGCCTTCCTGCAAACTAGCACAAACTGTCGTGCAAATAAAAATAAAACAATCTTTTCACATCTCAGCAATTTCTGACTTTCTGATTTGAAGTGGGAAAAGTAACGAAACAAAAACTTATTACTATATGCCATAGAAGCTCTAGAGCAATGTGGCAATTTCTAATTGCAATAAGTACTCCCCTTATGCTTTTTGGTGCAGCTAAGTCTTGAATAAAGATCTTTTTGCCACTTTATGACATTGACCTCGAGCAAGCTTTTTTTCGAGACTGAAATTCGATTATCTCACAGACGTCAACGAACTCCATTGACCCAAATGATCACAACGCGGTGCTCAATGACAAGTTGGTCTTTTTAAAACTCGGCCTCCAGAGTCGTTCTGGGTCATGATGTCACTCGATTGGCTCAACAGATGAAACAAGTATTGCCTGCCGGTCAAGAACGTACAACTTTCCGGAATCCATATATTTCACAATGTGATGCATTTCCAGAGGGCCTCTGGATCAAACCACTTCATATGAAGCCAGAAGTGGGGAATTTGCCGTGCTGTTAGAACACAACTCGTTTATGGATGCGATTTGTCACCGATTGAAGTAGCACGGCGTTGATTGTGAAATAAATTATGATTTGTAGGCAATCAAATTTTAGTTGTTATCGCAAAAGACTCATCAGATTTTTTTTCGGATTTTTAAGACAAACGTCAAATTGATTTCCAGTACCCTCTGAAGAACGGCATGCGCATTTAGTGACCTAAGTAAAAACCGATATTTTGTGAGAATGTGGGCAATAAAAAAAAATAAAAAATCACATGTAACAGCGATATGGCTTATGCTAAATTTGTTTAATTTATTTACGTCCACAATTAAATGAAATATTAAAAGCAGCAAAAAGGTTTTTAAACATCTATATTATAGGAAAATAAAGAAGAATAATAACATTATTATTATATATACAATCCAGACCTCCAAAACTCCGTAGTCCTGACTCTTACTCCATTCATCTCAACCTACGAAAACGAACTACATTTAGGTATTTTGATGAGTTTGAAGCCCTTGAATATAGTCCTGATCCAGCACTTAAAACGAGAGAGGAAGCAACATCAGATTAAACGTGATTGATCTTGTATTTGGAGTGATTACTTCACCTGTTTTTGGCGCCAATTTATTATTAAGAAATTGCAAAGTCCATGAAGTGCTATGGTGTACACTGTAATTCAGCTTACAGCTGTGCATATCTGACTGCAGCAATGAAACAGTGAGATACATCGTATCTCAGCAATACAGTTAAATACAACCTTTGCAATTGGGCAGAGTCTTCTATCTACAATCCAGGATGCCCAGAACTTTACAGTTGATTCATGTGATTCAGTTGATTCACAATCCGCACTTAATACACATCAACCGTCATGTCACGTCAGCACATTATTCAACTAACAGCATACCAGAATGTCCAATTTTGACTTTTCCGGGAAGGTATATTTAGCATTCTGGATGTCGGCGTGAGTACAGAATCTGTACTCATGCCAGAGTTGTGATAGACATCATTCATGGCATCATAAACAAGTATATCCAAAGAACGAACCATAGAACAGATGCTTGTGCTGGATAATATGTGTGTACTTTGTGAGAACAACCAAATCCCTACCTTCTGAATACTGTAATCAAAATATCGAAACTTATTTTAAGTCATAATGTGATAAAATACTTGATTTCATATATTTAATTAATTAATTTATATTTATATAACTTTATATTGACTTCCCGCAATTTTCAATCTCGTATAATAGAAAATACCATATCTCGAACATAATTAGTCATCTGAAGACAACTTTTTTGACCTGGAAAATCTATTTATGCTAGTAAGAAAACGCTACGTCGCTTAGAACAGAACATCAAGCAAAAACGTAGCAGACGATGTCGAACAAATAACATGAGAATATGTGCCTAAGGTTATTACAGTATGATGGCAAGAATATTGAAGAATAGAAAGCCTATTAAAGAGGTGCAGTCACCCGAAACAAACTGCCCTCAGAATTGTTGGATCTCCACTAGGAGATGCTTTGTTTGGAAATAATGGAACTTTCAGAAAGAAATAACTATCAAGAGATATTTATGAAATTATTATCACGCTGATAAATTTAAAATTGTATCTGAAACAGATTTATTAAAACCATGTTAAAAATATTCATCAATTTCAGTGTAATCTAGTCTTTATCGAAAATATTTTATTAATAAAAAAAATTGTAGTTTTTTTATAAGTTCAATTCGGGATAATATATTAAAATCTCACCTCACAAGCTTGTATGAAATTCCGTTATGCTAATAGAAACCGTCAAATCCGAATCGTTACAGTGTTTGTTCTACAACAGTCTTCCGGTGGAATTTACAATCGGTATCACCGAAATTTTCTATATATAAATCAGGAGTTCATTTATGGCAACTGAGTGGATAACGGCGTATGTTCGTCTGGACTCACCGCAGTAGAGAGCGCAGTCGTATCTTTCCGCATGAAGCGTCAGAGGTTTAGCACGGATGCAGGTGTCATCTCCCACTTCGGTACGTGGTTGGTTCCGGGTGAGGTGAAGATGGATGCGGTGGAGGGTTTAGCATCGAAATGAAACCGGGCTCGGTTGCGAGGGGCGAGAATCTTTAGGGTTTAGGGAATCTTATACAGTATATCCGGACTGGAGACGAGACCCGGCGGGCAAAAGAAGTGGAGAAACATTGGAGCGCGTGGTCGGCCGGACCGACCGACCGACCGACCGCGTAGGCCACAGCAGTGCGACAACGGATGCCGTCGTCGCTCTTCTTCTCTGGGCGTCTTGTCTCGCGAGGCGGGCGGGGCGTGCGTGCGGAGCCTGCGCTCTCAAGAGTCCACGCCTCCTTCGCCTGCCCATCATTCCGATCCCCAGATTCCGTGCTCCCATAGATTGCAGTGCGGAAGCAGGTGTACGAGTCTCTTCGCCGATTCGGACCCTTGCCCTCCCGCTTCGTGCAATTCCTCCTTTCTCACGGCTCTGTCACCATCTCCTCCTCGTCTCGTCTCGTCTCCGATTGGACGCTCTGGCCTCACCGCGCTCGTGCCTTTTTGCTCGAGGATTTTCGTTCGGACACTCGCCTTCGGTTTCATGGTCGGGCTGATGACCGCCGATTGTTGCAATTCGGATCGAATTGCTCGATCGGATCGCCGATTTGCTCTCGTCATGCTCTAACAGCAGGAGATTGGTCGGGGGCAGTCTGGGGGGAGGAGGAGGCGTTTGTAATTTTCGCCCGGAGAACGCTCAATCGCAACTATGGCAGAAGAGGTAGAGCAGGAGGTCGAGGCTATGGAGGCCGTGTATGGCTCAGATTGCACTGTCTTCCGGGTCTTTCCTCCTCATTTGAGCATCTCTATCAAACCTCGGACAGCTGACGACTTGTGTGTTCAGGTCAGTTCGCTTTCCTTTTGAATCCTGGAGTTTTTGGGAAGTCATGTTGCTGGGATCTACCTGGAGCTATCTCATTTCATAGGTTGCCTCCGGATTACACGCCTTGTTAAGGTTCCACGACGCGGGTCTGTGGGATTCAATTCACTCAAGATGCTGTCGACCGTTAGCTGCACAGATCGTTCTGTGCTAGTTTATCAAGCATATTTTCCGAATATTTTTTAGTTTGATCATTGTCTAATTGAATTCAAGAAGTTACAATTGAATTGAAGAGGAATTCAAGTCACATGTAATACATGAATCTATACACCGGTTCCGGCATTCTCTTCTGATATTCACTAGAATCACTGTAGTGCGAGGCTTGTCTTCTTTAAATTTTCGGCTAGTAACTGGCGCTTGCCAGTCACAAGTGTTTCTCAAATTCCAGAATTGCAAAGTCTGATTCTCACAACTGCAGCGGTTCAATTGCAGTTTGTGGAAGCTGTACTCGTCATCGAAGCTAGTGCCAAGGTAAGCTGCATTCAGCCTCGCATATGATTGTGTACAACCTTAGGGTTTATTGCTGGCGGCTTTGCACGCGTATCAAATTTGCCACCATTATACCATATATCTGTCTATGTCGTGATACATGTGTTAATTAAATGTGGCCATAGTTGACATTATCCCATGTGGAACAGAGTCAGCTTTAACGTTTGAATTCATCCTTGCAGTATCCAGGTGTTCCACCCAAGTTGGAGCTCAAAGATGCCAAGGGTTTGGGTGACAGTAGGCATGGTAAATTGTTGGAGGAATTGCATGTCCAAGCTAAGGAGCTTTCAGGAGAACCAATGCTAGTGGCTATCTGCGAGGTACACCAATTTAGCAAGTGTCTTCTTTTTTTTTGCAAGGAACCAGAGACGCTTGCATCAAAATTCTGAGAAGTAGACAAATTTTATCAATCTTGATATGGATAGACGAGATTCTGTAAGTCAGAGTTCATTCCATCTTGTACGTTAGATTCAAACTATGATCACACCTCGCTTTATTTTAATCTACAAATCAACTCATCTTGTAAAGTTAATCGTATCTCTGACGAAGAACTTCATTCGTATAGAGAAATATGCTATTGCGAAGAAAGTGCCATCCACTCTCAGTTGGAAGTAAGCATCCCTTTCAGGTTCTTTTAATTACGGGTGTGAAGGATGCATACATAGTCCCGACTGACGACATGACTACCTTGCAGGCAGCAACAGACCTCCTCACTGGCATGAACGTTCCAGAAGGAGATTGTTGCTTCTGCAGAGATCCATTTGACATGGACGATGGAGCCCAGCCCTTCATGAAGCTAATGTCATGTTTTCACTGTTTCCACAGGTAAAATTCATGAACTCTTCTTGCTACTTATTTGATTCCCTCTTATCTAAAATAAAATAATATCAACCAAAATGAAATAAAAGTGCTCTTTGGAAGCGCAAACTGCACCATGCAGGTGTTTTTCCTTTATTTTTCATCTTGTATGTTTTCTTTACGTTTCCGCTCTCTGAGTGGGTCTTCACCCTGGATGTCTCTAAGGATTTCATAGTGAAGCCTGCTTTTGTGGATGCTGGGATTTTGGATTGTATCTAAGTTATGTAAGTTTCCAATTGTGGAAGAAAAACATGACTGATGAACACAGATGATTACTTTTCAAGCTCCAAAATCTCGATAACGATGATCCCACACAAATATTCTATTGCAGTGATTGTTTTGGGAATTGGTGGAGATGGCTGCAACTGCAAAATGGCGGACGCAGTGCTGCCATTGCTACTTCTGACGACGGAGATAATGACGAAAGGTTTGCCACTAACTTAAGATCCTTTATGTTCTAATGTTTTTATGTTCCAATGCTCTGCAAGTAGTATTTGCTTCAAGCATACCATGAAGTTGTTTACACGGAGTTAGTGGTTTGATAATTGTGTTGTTCAGTTAAATCTCATTGAGTACCGACGATTTTGAGATGGAATGTTTGTAAAATGAGAGGTTGCAATGTCCTTTTAAAGCTGTTGTGTCGCAAGTTTAAATGCCTTCAGTATTATCTGGATAGTGATTACCTCTATGGGTGTCCGGAGCATACACCGGGTATTATCTTTCTAACGCACTTTCATTCTACTCGCTCAGGTCTGAGCAGAGGAACTCTGTTGAATTTGGAGATTTTTCAGTCAACTGTCCAGTCTGCCGCATGATTGTCACTGCTGAAGACGTTGCTCATGTGCGAGAATTTCTCACAGCTGAGTCGAAGTTGCAAAACGTGAGTACAAAAAAGCTTTGAGTTTGAGATGAACCCAGGCTTCACATATAACTTTGTTATAGCTCTTGCTGATATCATATTCTTGCTGATGCCCATTTTTAAGGCTTAGTCAGCTCAAGACGGCTTAGGACAGCTCAGTTAGGGAATTTCACTCCATCTTATGAAGTCGTTGGTTAATAGGACTACTGTTATTATGGTCTAGGGTATGATGAGAAATAAGTACTCTGGTAAAGCTCTGTCCATCCTGCACGGTATAAGTTATTGTCTACTTGAACTCGACTGCCGTCTCGTTCCAACCCTTCTCCTTTTTCTTGGTCCTCCATTTTTGTTTTCCCGTTTCTTAAGCTGTTGTTTTACTTGGAGTTCGTTAGTCTTTAATTTGATACTTACGGCTTACTTAATCAATGAAGCTTTTTGTCAATCTCTCCTCTCTTTTCTAGGTATTATTTTACAAAAAACTGGAGGCCCTCCCTGTAACATGACAATTATTTGTCAAATGTTTGTTTGTATTCCAATGTATTTCTCGTTACTACCAGCAGTGGCCGAAGATATATATGTATAAGAGCACCCCATGCCTGCACGATTCTCATTTCAATTACCTCGAGCTCTACCTCTAGGGTAGATGCTCTTGAGAAATGTTAGGTGCAATGCACACGGTTTGTTTACTAAATATCGAACTTTCGATCCCAAGGTGCAGAGTGAGGATGATGCAAGTGTTCCGGATCTTGTATTGACTGAAGAAGAGCTGGAAAGGCGTGCTCGTTTTAGCGCTGAGTTTGAAGCTCAACAAGCTCGAGGTGCAATCATCGAACCGAAGAAGTTGGAGGTTATTTTGCCTGGTATGGTGGTACCTCGCACACCTCAAGTTGAAGAGCAGCCTCCTGTACCAGCAGTTTCCGAAGAGGACCAAGCTTCTCCCTCTTCCATCACTGATAGTCCTGTGTCGTCATCCCCTCAATTTAGTGGAATCCGCGGATTTGAGAGCCAGCAAAGTGGGCATGGAAGCCCCAAAGGTCAAGGTCATCAACAACGTGACAATGGGCAAGGTAGCAGGGTATCATTCCGGGGAAGAAGAGGTGGCAGCAGCAGAGGTTCTCACATGGGATCCAGGACCTACCATGGGAGATCTAAAGTAAAGAAAGACCATGCTCAAGCCACAAGTGATCCACCTCGGCAGCACGCACATGCCTCCAGACACCAACCACGAGGTATTAGACTAGATGGAAATGTCCAAGGAACGCCTGAAACGACTCAAGTTTGATGGTCATTATACTCCGTGATCTCAAAAGATCGTGAAACACGATGCATGCTATTGTAGAGTCTCTGAGGATAGATGTAATACCAAAATTATGCCGATGGAATATGTTATTGTATCCGTGTTAGGTCAATGTATTGCTCTGCGGTCGTCTTTTTAAAATCTCGTACAATTTTTGGATAAACCCCGTAAAGCCTCGCATCACAGAGGCAAGAGGTTTTAACAAGCGGACGTGTGTATCAACAATGCCGTTGATACCGTGATGCTCTGTCCGGTTCAGAACAATTTGCAGTGTATATCGTAGCCAGTTTTGACAGCTTCAGTAGATGCAGAAAAAGTAGCTCTTCTATCTTAGAACACACAGCAAGAATCAGGTCTGGAGAATGTCAGCCAATGCGATAAGAAGTAGTGTTCACATTCTCTGCAGAAAAAGTAGCTCTTCTATTTTAGAACACACACTAAGAATCAGGTTTGGAGAATGTCAGCCAATGCGATAAGAACTAGTGTTCACATTCTCTGCAGAAAAAGTAGCTCTTCTATCTTTAGAACATACAGTAAGAATCAGGTCTGGAGAATGTCAGCGAAGGCGATGAGAACTATTGTTTACAGTCTCAGCGCCGAGACCATGGAAACAATTCAGACTTGAGGAACTCACAGAAGACACGAGCATTGTTTGGCCGTTTTAGCGCCCGAAGTCTCTCTTCAAGCTATTTATTGTGGCCTGCGGCAGCTTTTGGAAAATAAGAGAACGTAAAATTTGTGGTCCTTCGAGTTCCATGTTGGTACATATTGCGGATGCGAGTATAAACGGTGATCCAAAATTGTGTGGTGCAATTCCATATGTTATATTCATGTATCGGTGGATGCATTCTTTTCATCCAGCATGATAATAATAGTTCTCGATGTAGCATCACAGTCCTCTCGTTCTGGACGTAACGCAAGGAATCGGTCCGACTTAATCTCACGATTCGATCTTTACAAGTAAAACGATGTTTACGATGTAAAACTCGACCAAACAAGTGCGTCAGCGAGCAGTGTGAGTGCGAGAGGAGCTCTTCTCGGACAGCAAACATCACACGCAAGTAATATTACTGTCACTCGTAACAGCTTTTTACTTCAGTCCTTACTCGTACAAATCCTAAGTTGAGGACAGGGACCTCATACAAAATTTACGTATAATTTGTAGTTGGGAGTAACTGGAATCGTGGGTTCTCCCTCAGTGGGTTGATGCATCGACCTCAGAATCGAGGAATGTTGATTCAGTACCGTTCCTCCTCCGCACGCACGAAGCCGCAGCTGTAGTAGGCTCAACTTCAGCGCCGAAGATAAACAAACTGTCGGGACTAGCTTCTCGTGATCGAATTCTCGCCATGAAACGCCTTGAAGATCCATGCTAGTGCCCAGTTGAGGACGGGCGACCAGCCAGCTAGCCAGCCAGCCGCTCAGTCTCCTCAGAACTTCTACCTCTCGCCGGGGAAAACTCTATGGGCCCTGTTTGCGCGGTGCTTTCGGAGTGTCGGCGAAAGGGTCGTCTTCGCCGTCGTCGTAGAAGTCCGGTCCGTCGGCCATCTGCACTTGTCTCAGCTCATGGAACCTCGACCTCGACAAGTGCTCCGCCCTCTTCTTCTGCCATTTGAAGAAGAAGCTGCCCAGGCACAGCGACACCACCACGATCGACAACACGATCACCAGAGGCCTGTACCACTGCACAGAGAGAAAGGTCGATGGAAATGAGTTCAGAGACTCAGAATTTTAACGATTTTCGGGCTGCTATGAGCTCATCGAACCGATCTACCTGTCGACCATGTTCGGTTTACAGGGTCAGAGTCTGCCGATGCAAGCTCGACGGTTGATATCAAATTCAATAAATGCATCGTCATCTTTCTGAAATCTAGTAACTGACAGTGGTGCTGCACGCTCATTGTCACAAGATTGGAGCTTGGTCAGGAGAATTTTTCTGCAGCGTTAGTTTCTTCTCCTAGCAGCATGGTTTGAAACATTCTCCGCAGGTAGTGACGAGAATGTGACGCATAATCAAAAGCTTGAGCTGGTTCTTAGGCCGAGAGTGATGATGAGATAAGCACCTCTCCAGCATGATGTTTTGCCGAGCTCTCAGGAGGACTGCCTGCGGGAGGTGGAGCTGAACAAGCGCACAAAAAATAAAGGCATGGGCATCAGTCGCCGTTCGCAGGTTTGCCCTATCTGTCTCTAATCACGGATGATTGAATCTCGTAAAGAAATCAAAGCCCCACGGTCGACGAACACAGATGCAATTATGACTCACCTACGAACGTGGGCAAAGAACAGTCACGGGCCCCGAGAAACTCCGGGGGACAATCGCAGGAGGTGCTTAAAATTCCGATACACTCCCCCCCGTTGAAGCAGAAGGAATCGCCGCAGGCATCCCCTTTGTTTTCGCAGTGCACGCCCGCAAATCCAGTGTCGCAAGAACAGGTGTAATTTTCTCCCTGGACTATCTCGTTGCAAACCCCTCCGCTTTCGCACCAGAAGGAGTTGGTGCCGTCGCACATCGTCGACTGAGTGTCGCAAAATACACCTCTACAATCTCAAAGCACGAGACAGAATTGAGCTTCCCCGTCTCATGACTGATCTATTTATTGCTAGGGAGTCGGGGCACGTGAGAGAACTAGATTCAAGCTTGCTCAGCGGTGTGCAGAATCAACGAAATAAAGCCCCCGGCAGAACGAGTTCCCAATGAGACGTGAGACATTATGCATCACAACAACCTACTTCAAACATCACACGTCGACCGACATCTTGCGATCGGATGCAGACCCAGCAATTATAGACTCATACGTGATGACAAAAGAGAAAGTCGAGCAGCAAATTTCCGCCAGGAAATCTAGTTTTCTTGACGCGAGATGGATAGAGAAAGGAAAAAAAGAAGGAAGAATGAGAGCAGATCGTTCGTGGGCAGAAGGTGCTCACCCCTGAAATGAGCGATCTCCATTCATCACCGAGTCAGGATCAGGGAGTAGACACTGACATACACCGTCGGCATCACAATTGTTCGTCTTACAATTTGCTTCGCACTGCTGCGCATTTGCATTGCTCGCCAGGCACAGCACCATGATGCTCAGCACGATCAGCCCCCATTTCAAGCTCACGATCACCTTTTTGACACCTGCCGCTTCTCTCCTCCTCCTCATCGTCGTCATCATCCTCATCCTCATCCTCTTACTCATCACTCTACCTATCCTCAAAAATTCTCTACTTACGATCCCGCCGTGTAGAAACTGTGCGGATTCCTTTCTTGCATTCCTCTCTGTCTCTCTCTACGGTCGCAATGCACGGCGAGTAAGAGGGAAATAGCTGAATCGTTCGAGATTCAAATTCAGGGATACAGGCAGCAGCATCGGAGACTGTCTACCGGGGCAATCAATATACACAATCTTGAGGTACTCATTCTCCTCCGTCGTCTTCTCTTGTATGTTCGGTTTCGACGACCAATTCCAGAATTTGGATGAGTGATCGCTCGACCAAAAGCTGACCGCAATTACAAGACCCTGCGATGTCAATCTACAGAGCTGCCTCGTCTCGGCGCATTGGCTGGGCTGGGCTGGGCTTGGCTGGTTGGCTGGCTATGCAGAAGAAGAAAGAGGATGCTCGTGACCACCTGAGCGTCCGAGAGCGATTCCTCTTGCTCCCGGCTCGAGCAACAAGAAGCCGATCGCCCCGAGCTCTCTGTCCGCCCCCTCTCTCTCCCTCTCCCTCTCCCTCTCCCAGGCCAGAACGGTGAACAGAATTCTTGACCGATTCGTCTTCCTGCTCTGCTCTTCTCTGCTCTGGTCGCCTCCGCCTCCTCCGCCGCCCCCTCCTCGCCAGCTAAAGCGCTCTTAGATCCCAAATGTGCGCAATGTTTCCGACCCAGTGGGCGAGCACGGAGCCCGCCGTCCACGTACCACTCACCTCAGTCACTCACTCGCTCGATTAACCAACCAACCAACAGAGCAACGCTCGTTCCAGAAATCAAGCCTTCGATTAGTCCAGTCTACCTCCAGCTCTGGCTCTGTATCTTCAATTGCGTCTTGCCATGGTCCGAATCTGCTCGATCCGACTCACATCGCTCGCTCGAGAGAATCTAGCCAACTGCATCGGGACGCACACGCACGCTTGCTAGCTCTGCAATCGTTGGCTGAACCCCGGGGAACGATGGCACATGATGTGGCCCGGCTGCGAATCATGCTCTCGACTCCGGTACAGCACTTCTGCGGACGTGGGCCATGATTTCCGCCGACGACGCCCACGGCCCTCTGCTCTGCTGCTTGCCTCTTCCCTTCGCCTTCCCCTCCCCTCCCCTCCCCTGCCCCTGTCCCTCATTTCCTTCCCGAGAAAGCCATTAATTCTTTTTGTTAATATTTGGACTCGGATTCTCGGATAAAACTCGGACATCTGCCGATTCCGCTCGCTCCATTTTGCATCTGGTGCAAGCAAGACGGTGGCATTTGTCACCCACAGCATCTTGCGCCTGACCGACATCCTTCTCCGCGCTTCGAAATTCGTGCTTCTTCTTCTTCCGGCTGCTCTTGCGATTATTCGAATCATCGTAAATTGACCCCCTCTTGCTCATCTTCCCCCTCCCCCGTCCCCCCTCCGCTACCAGTCAGTCCGCCGCGGCTCGCACAACGACCTCCGGTCCTGGTCCTGGTTCTGGTAACCAACCTCTTCCGGACTGTAGTCACTGCACAGTACAGTTGAGTCCACGAATTGTAGTCACTGCGCAGTACAGTACGCTGTTGAATCCACGAATGGAAGAAAGGCGAGTCGTTGTTCTCCTGGCGAGAGCACCACGTACTCGGACTCCGAATCGCGGGCAGGGTCGGGCAGGCCGGGCAGTGCCACGCCACCAGTGGGCAGCGAGCACGTGCCGTTGAAAGGATGCTGTACTGGACCGTACTGTATCGTGACCGAATGAACGAACATTCTTTTCCAGTTGATTGGGAAACGGTTGGCCTCCTCGTTTCTTCCCAACTCTTCTTCCGCATGCTTCCAATTGCGTCCTTTACTCCTACGCTCTCTGAAATTCTGGTTTTCCTCTTATTGGTATGCATCGCATTCATTCCAGGCTTATTTTCGTAACCACTCTACAGAACTCTTGAAAGGTTTGTTATAAACAATATTATCAGATCATTTAGAATAAAACAAACTCTATACTCTGTATTCTTTTGGAATACTTTCTCTAATTATTGAGGACTGTTTCTAACTGTATAATTCACGTTTCGTTTAAGTACTAATTTGTAAAACAATGCAACTGTTGAAGTTTTGAGTTCATGTATGCTATACAGTAAACTGTAGAGAATGATCCCCCAAGAATTGTTCAAACACTTTTCAAAGTTTTATGTTTATAGTTCACATAAGTCCAAAACAAAAAATCTTAATAGTTGAACTTTTCAATTAGTGAATATTTGTAAAAAATGGGCAGCTTTCTTCAGTCCACTAGTGGAATATTCATTTTCTTTGAAACTAACTACGTCATTTGTAATGAATCACAATGGTTCCTTCATGTCAGATATTTCACTTTGTCACAAACTAATTTTCAATGCCATTATGGATAGTCACACTCTCTACTATAAATGAAATACAAGTCATACAGATGTAAACAATAACAAAGAGCGTATTCGCGTGTGAGTATGTACATGGATAAATCAAGTGATCAATATCAAATGACGTAGATCTGGAAAACAAGTTGACTCAAGTTTCAGAAGACTTCAATCTTTTCTCACAAACAATATAGACAAAAAATGATACTCATTTTTTTATAGCAATGATCAGATCACTAGGAATATAAATTGGCTTACTTTTATTGTTGATACATCAAAATCTAACTGGTGAAAGAAAATTAATAAAGCTGTGAAAAAAATTTTAACTCCAAAGAAATATATATATATATATATATCTACTGATTTAAAAATTTATGCTTCTATTAACAACTTTCTTTTTTCTTTCATAGGTTTCTATCAGTTTTAGTGATAGAAAACTAAAACTGCCATAAGAACCCATTCAACAAAGATTCTTGAATTCACCTAAACATTTTAATAAGTTAAAAAAATGAATCTTATATTTTAATCAGCTCAATATATTTTATGCTTGATTTTCATGACATATATGTTTTAAGTACATGTATAATGTACATATAAGATATAACTAATTCCTTTTCCAACTGGTACCCCACTTTCAATTAACTATAGCTATACATAATCACATAGTAAGAATAATCAAAAGACTACATTAATATTTATAGTTATCACTCACTTAGAGTTAATTAACTCTTATACTACTATAAGCTTTTCCCTGATTGGTCTTGCTGGATTATAGTTTTCGTGCGATGAATATCGACTTGATGAGTTTTTCTTCTTTCCCCCTACGTCAAAGCTGCCTCCGTGGAGTCTGCCACGGAGGCATAATTAAAGCCACGCCTGTCACCTCCGTGTGATGCCTCACGAGCTTCAACGTTTGATCTCCGCTATGAATGTTATCTCTTGAACCTCTGTGCACAAGTGGAATTATCATGTGAAATGTATGCACCAACTGATAAGTAGAGAAGATTCTTGGACGATAAGTCTGATCTGTGAATGTGACAAAAACTCTTACGGTTCTTCAAAGCTTCATTGTGTTCTCACACAACGTAAACTGAACATCAATGTACAACAATGTGTGGAAATATGTCGAGGTGTCTTGTTCCCTGATAAAGCACTCTATCTTCCTTGAAGTGGTGAAATCTAAACTTGAACCCAATCCAACACAGTGACCGCACGGCGTCAAAGTAAGTACAACAGGTACCGAGCACAACAAGAGTTCTTACAAAAGGATCACATGCACAGGGGATGAAGTCCACAAACATTCGTGTAGCTTGGATCAAACTTATGCAGGGCGACTTGATTGCATTGTTATGGCAAACTTGGTGGTGTGAGGTGGTCATGAACATGGTTAAGACAAGCAATTCTTTAAAACATGCACATGGTAGCTTTACTTCAACACACTTCCTCATCATGAATTGAAGGAAGCACAAGGAGTCCGTCATTTTTGCCACAAGCCTCCATTGTCTCAAGAGAGAGTGAACTTATTTTCAGTGACATGTTTGCCCACAAACCAACTTCACATAGTTATGGATATTGTCATTAGGAGGTTTAGGAGACATCATTCACAACGGTGATGGAACGCTGAAGCGCGTCATGCATCGCGCGGAGGTGGCATGCATGGCTTTGACGTGGAGTCTGCCACGGAGGCATCTTTAACGCAGAGGGGAAAGAAGAAAAATCCGCCAAGTTGCTACTCATCCACAAAAGTTATAATTCAGCAAGACCAATAAGAGAAGAGCGTATAGTAGGATGATGGCTAATTAGCTCTAAGTGAGTAATAACTAGCCGTCCCCTTTTATTATCCTAACTTTATAATACATAAAATCCAATGAGTGTATATATATATATATATATATATATAGATATGGAGTCGCTACTCACCACTCACTTTTTGTTATTCACCACTCATCCCCAATTTTCAAATCGTTGAAAAGCGCGTCCAAAATACCACTTACATCACCATGGATCGTTACCAAGAACTTATCAGAGCAACCTATGCTAGTCTAAAGGCTGCCCGCGCGGCTCTAAATTCACACCTTGCCGATGAAGACTACATCGTGATTGTGAGCATTCAGCCAATCGGAGCGCACATGGGTTCTTTAAAATTGGGGGTGAATGGGGAATAGTGAAAAGTGAGTGGTAACTAGTGGCTCCCTCTATATATATATGGGCTAGACTAGGGCCACACCGCTACATACAAACAACTGATTGCGCGTCAAAGCACGTCTCCCCTCAAACCCAGCTGCTAAGCCGAGCTCGTCCGCGAGGCAGAGCGTAGTCGAGAGGCTTCGAGTGGCGCGGGGCCACTGCGGCCGTCGCTGTCTCCCGCGTTGCTGCCCCTTGTACCGCTTTGCGTAGTGGCAAAAGTGCATTTTGGTAGTAGCAAAAGCGGGCATGGGCATGGTAATTAGCGGGCGGTTGTGGCCGTAGCAAAAACGAGTGTGGCCCTAGTCTTAAAATCCTATGTAAAGATATTTTCCCCTCGTGATGAGAGTTAAGATAAACCTTGTATTTACAGTACAAATGTTTAAATGTCTATAGATTAAACTGATTATATATTACACATTGGAAAGAAAAAAAAATTATATTTATTAAATAACATAATCTGAAAAATGAAGAAATAATAACTTTCTTGTTAAATTTTATTCAGTTTCTGTAAGATTAAAGTAAAAAATGTAATTCTTCAAAAATAACCATATAGATTGATAATCCATATGTATGAATTTGACAAGTAAATCCCTCTTGAAATAAAACGTAAATCAGCAACAATCATTATGCAAATAAGATACATGTTTTTGGGTATCTCAAAATTTGTATAAGTAGTTAATCTAAAGTTGTTAAGGGGAAACAAAACTACACAGATTTACGAGACCCACGGTTTCGCAATACCGTGTTGGGGACGACTAGGGCCACACTCGTTTTTGCTACGGCCACACCCACTACGTACAAACATTTGATTGCGCGTCAAAGCACGCCTCCCCTCAAACCCAGCTGCTAAGCCGAGCTTGTTCGCAAGGCAGAGGAGAGCGTAGTCGAGAGGCTTCGAGAGGCACGGGGCCGCTGCGGCCGTCGCTGTCTCCCGCGTTGCTGCCGCTTGTACTGCTTCCGCCGGTGCTGCCGTTCTATTGATCTATTTCAACTGCCCCGCTTCAGGAGCTTTGATTGAGGCAACTTATACGGGCGGGTGTGGCCGTAGCAGAAGCGGGTGTGGCCCTAGTAAAAACGAGTGTGGCCCTAGTCGTCCCCTACCGTGTTGCCCATATAGATAAAAGTTGTCAGGAGAATTTCAGCATTTTATAATTACTTTGTGTACGAAATAAAAAGACAGAGCATGCCGCGAGTTAGGGTCGAAGCAGTTCTTATGCGTGTCGCGTAAGATGCAGACTCGAATCACAAATCTTGACCGGCCATCGATCTCGATCCGAATGCAATGCTTCGACAAAGAAGAACGGATGAGACTGACCAGCTCGCGGAGGCAGTGTAGGAGGTCCTCCATTTCAGGACCAAATGATTCTCATTTCTCCATATGAGTTTTATCAGCTAGCTTTCTACACATCAAGAAAATAAATTCACCCTCCAAGGTTTGATTGTCAATAAATGGGATTATTTCGGAACGATTTATTGGGTGTCTGCCAATTGGGCAATAAAATTGCAGAAACTGACTGAGCTTACTCCTGGATATTTATTGCCTCTATTGCAGAGACCTGCAGTTAATAAAATGGCGAGAAGCAAAAGATAAAAAAATATGTATTGAGACGCACTTTTTGTCCCATTGCTAGGAAGTAGGTAAGTAAATTCACCTAATACAGCCAAAAGGACGGGTGACGATCAAATAGTCCATATTGTGTTAGGTCCCAATCGCATGGGCAACAGTGAATGTGTATGACCACTATCTACACAACCAAATCCCAAATCATATCAAGAAGTATCACTTATTCTAAGTCTCAAGTTTGCACTCTATTCACTGTCTTAGATAAAGCTTGCAATCTTATCGACGTTTGATTCTAATAACCGGAAATCACTTGAAAACTTGCAACTCTCCAAATTCCAATGTGGCCGCTTTTGGGGTTTAGTCCCGGCATGGCAAACCCCTCGAACGGATAGTACCGCCACTGTCCGCCGGACTACGAGAATTCCCAGAGCATGCCAAAGTAGCATCATAGAATCGAACGCTGATAATGTTCTTTCATTCTTGGGAGATGTTAGTTATCCTTCACATTACAACAATTGTATAAATTGTTTAAGAAGTGAATTGTATGATTGGTCAGAGTGATCTCATTTCAAAATGAATACCTTCGTTTCATTTTGAAATGAAACTAACATTGGACGCTGCTTGATCGATAGTGCAATTTTACATGTTTAGTAAAAACCGCAGAGTTAGTAACAAGAAAGATGGATCAAGAGACTTAATTCATCCAACCAAACAATTTATCCATGAAATTACTCGCGAGCACAACACACCCAGCCCTATAATAGGGTGAGAATAAGTAGCCGCTCCCTTATTCTTTTGTTTCCAATTAAACCAAATCGACTTCCAGACCTCTGCTCCTTTCCGGCTACCGCGATTAATGTACGAGTGATGCAACTCTGTTCCGTTTGATATCCAGTATTGCAGACATTTCATAAACTCAACTTCTCACCTTTCCTACTCGCACGTCGAGCGGTTTGGTTTCAGTACCACGATCGCTGACAGACGCCGTGACGGAAAGGGCGAGAAGGTGACAAGACCGTGGCGTACAAGGCGAGACGTATGGTACGCCCCTCCCCCTGCGCCTCCCTCCCTCCCTCCCGACCTTCGGGACGGGGGGTTGCAATAATGGACGTGGGGAGGAAATCTCCCGCCACAGTCGATCCAGTACAGCGCGTGCTGCCGGTCCATGGCAGCTGCTGCTGTCGTCGGGCCACTTGCCCGGATCGTCCAGCAAAAAGCTAGCACGAACAATGATCCGAGCTTGTCATGAAACCTGATCCCGTGAAATCATGACTTTTGCAGGTTTGGCAAAAGGATGACCAGATTTGAAAATCGGAATGTTCTTGAGCGGAAGGAGCAGGAAAGGACAGCTTTTGAAGAGAAAGATTCGCTTCGTTTTGATGGAACTCGGAGGAGAGTGAACCGTGAGCGGTCGAGCTACTGCGGATGATTCACAGCAAAGTACAGTGCAGTACATTCCAGTGCAGGGCAGTCAGTACGATGTCGTCCTCGTCCCTCAAGGCCGCGGTCGTCGTCGTCGTCGTCTTCAAAGTCCACGTTACTGCTCCGGTCTTCTCGTGGGAGTGGGTGTGACGTGTGAGCGGCCCCGTTCCATCACCGTGGCAATTACAGGACGGGGCCGTTCCGAGTCCCAGCTCTCTCCTCTCTCTGCCTGCAACTCTCCAGATCTCTCGTCCGTCCGGGGACAGGAAAGAATTTTCGATGTCAGATGCAGTTCCTTCGTTCGATGTGCAATCGAGCATCGATTCGATGTGCCAGTGTAAATCAACATAATGCAGCTGATGTGTTTACAGACCTTAATAATAAGTACCGCATGAGATCCACGGAGCTATTCGCTCTTGTTAACATGGCAAGTGAGACATGTTGGCACATCCATACGAGTGCAGAATCAAATCCGTTGGTGCTATCTCCAGGCTGTCTGGTTCAGTGACACGGAAGCTGGACTGTGCTCTACAACCTGATCCGTGAGCAGAGAAGATGACACTTGACCAGGGACAGAGAGAAAGAGAGACAGAGACAGAGAGGGGTGAAATGGTTCGAGCAGTTGCATGAGTGTTCAAGGGCACAGTGATTGGATACTGCACATGAGGAAACCCACTCGAGGAGGGGGGTACGGCACCGAGCAGAGCAACGGCTCTTTCATATGGTTCAGCAGAAGGAGAAGCGACACACGTGTTCCATGACGAAGTCGATGCTCGGCACCATCCTTTCTGATCTGTTTTCGGCTTGGCCTAATTCCCGTGCGCGATTGGTGTACACTACTCGCATTCACACCTCGTCGAATAAATTCATGAATTCCAATCTCTTCTCTCCTCTCCCTTTTCCACTTCAACGTGGGAAAGAGAAACCTGGAACCGGAAACAACCCGGGTCTTGTCTCGAAACCTATTTGATGAACTTGACCGTGGCTAAAATCCGACGGAGCACACTCATAAGACTTATCTCGCATAAGTAAACGGATGACACTGACCTGTCTCTGTACTTGTACAAACTCATCTGCACAACATTTATGCTCGTCGCCCACGAAGCGTTAACCACACTGCCTTCAGTAAACATGGAACGATCTTGCCTGCTTCCACTTCCTCTTCACCGTTAACTCATATGTCATAGCAATCAGAAGCAGCAGGTGCAGATTAATTTCTGCCGAGCAAAACATGAACGAAATCCTCAGATGAACGAGGAGATGAGACCATCTGAAAACCAAATGCTTTGCGCTCACCTTTCTCTCTCCTCCATCTACATCCGGTTTTCCTCGGAGGAGAGCGTCGAAGGCTGAATCATCCTTGCTTCGATGGAAGAAAAAAATTGGTACAAACAGAGGACCCTAAGGGCGAAGGAACGAAGGAAGGATGGATGGATGGATGGGGGTGAGGAACCTTCCCGCACTCCTCATCAGAAATTGCAATCCACGGAGACGAGAGCAGATTTGGACTGCGGAACGGATTTAGAGCAGATGCTGCAGCAGCAGACAAGGACTGGAAAGACAAGACAAGACAAGTAACCCCCAGCCATGGAAACGGAACGATTGTTCACTCACTGGAAGTGAAATCGACTCATGGTATCGTTAATCTTTACACGGTCAAAGCCGGCTGAGGTCCCATGTATGGCACGAGCGCATCGCATCATCGTTGACATTGGGTATCGATGTAAATTATGCCTACCAATCTATCTACTCCTAGGACTAAGACATTACTCTGTTCGGGGGACCATCAATTCTACTGGCTCCCCAATCTAGCAGTAGGTTCGGTTCCTATCCCGACTCTCTACGCTGCCTCTCCCTCTTCCTCTCTCTGCCCTGCACTGCCCTCCTCCCCTGCTCTGCTCTGCTCGCTGGCATAGACGAGCTCCATGGAAGTCGACGATGCCCTCGTGGATTCCACCTTCTGCACCTTGGTGGGCATTTCAGCCAGCGGCACAGAGGTCCCATTGCTGGTCACGGTGCTGTCTTGCTGGAGTACGCAATCCTCGTAAGAGCGCTTTGTACACGAGAGATATTTTTCGTCTATGCTGTTGTGCTCTGCTTGCGCTTGAGCTTCGGCTTGGGCTTCGGATTGTTGAACCTCTGATGCTTCGGGTAATTGCTCTTCTGGCTGGACTTGCTGCTGCGGTTGGGCGAAATGTCGAGCATCTGTGGCATGCGCAGCAAGGGTGCGGTTGACTTTGGCGCAGTCGTAGAGGAAGCACATGAGCGGGCCTGCCACGGTGATGAGCTGCTGGTGCGACACAATGTGTTTATTCGAGAGAACGTCCTGAAGGCGCATGACTTCGCACACGAACTTCTCGTAGAAAACTCGGCTCCAGTTGACTTCCAGTCCTTCCATGGCCTGGACGACGAGGTACAGAAGCTCGCCCGAGCATCGGGATTGCCGAATGAGTTTCATCCAGAAGGTCATGTTCAGCAGGATCACGATGTCCCGGAGGACCGGATCCCTACACTTATCGAGCATGTAGCCATTTTGCGGCTTCACAGCGGGAGCGTGCTCAAAGTGCTTGACCAAGTTCTCGTGATCCATCGGACGCTGCGCGCGGCAGTGCGCATTCAAACCCAGTAATCCCGCCCCACCTTCGGCCTGTAAACCTGTGGCCAGTGCAAAATTCTCCAAGCTGACATTGATTTCCAGATCACCCACTCTCGTCGCTCTGGTCTGGTGATTCCAATTGCGCACAAATTCCATACACAGTCCCGGCTCCTGCCATTTCCACGCCGCCCGTAGCACCGTCAGCAGACCTACCTTGTTCAATGCCATCGCCACGCACCACTGGTGGCTGCCCTCGAGCTCCTCGTTTGACTCGCACTCGAACATCGTCCGAATGGCTTCCAAACCTTCATCCTTGAGCAGCAGCAGCTTCTCGCCTTCCTCCTTCTCTGCCGTCGGTGCCTTGAGGTTTTGCCCGAGCCCCGCTACGACTGACTGCTCCCGCTCCTGCTCATGCTCTCGCTCTTGCTCTGGCAACGACTTCTGCTCTCTCATTTTCGCCTCGCCCCCTCCCCTCTCTGTCCGTCTAGGGCCAGCACCACACGAAATCGAATCCCCCGTCTCTCTCTCCCTCCCTCCCTTCCTCCCGCAGGCACCACCGAATGACGAGCTACAACTACGACTACACTAGCACCGCCCTTTACTCCCACTACGACACTGGTCCTGCTACTTCGTCTTCTGCTGCAGAAACAGCAGCTGCTGCTGCTGCTGTTGCAACTGATGCTGATGATGCTCGGATGCGTGTCCCAGCAGGGAACCTCCCCGACTAAACTCCACGACTGTAGCTAAAAGGCCATGTCCCTGGCTGGCCTGGCCTTGCCCTCAACTAAGAACGTCGTTCTCCTCTTCCTCCTTCTGGTGCGAATTCCAGAGCATGGTCTCGTCTCGTCTTGTTGCAGATGCTGCTGCTGCTGCTCACCAGAGCTACTACTGGAAGTGAGCGAATGGACCGAGTTGGGATGCAAGGTTTGGGTTCCTCGGTGGGCTCTGTCTTTGGTAGAGCAGTGTCTAGGCTCGACGCTCTAGAGACTGGAGTGGTCTTGTTTGACTGTCTGTCTGTAGGCAGGCAGGCCAGCCTCGTCCTCGTCCTCCGTTCCTCTCACGAGCCTAAATAGGAGGAGTTATTCGACGTTTCTGACAAACGCTATTTGCGTGATAGAGCGGCCCCGAGCTTCTTCCTCCCCTCCCCTCCCCTCCCCTCCCCCTCGGACGGACGTGCGAGATGAGAACGGTTTCTGCTGCTGCTTCTTCATCGTTGGATGGATGATGCGTGATGATGTTCATAATCTACCACTCGCGTGATCCTTGAAATGTCGAGTCCGTGCTATGGCTATGCAGTGCCACAAACCAAAACGAGCCGCACCCGGTTCATCTGAAGTCACAGCGGTATAAAGAGAAGCGGTGAGAGAAAGAGAGAGGGAGATAGAGATCATGATTCCACTCACAGCGCACTGCACGGGAGCATTTTGGAGGGAGGGCGGCACTGTTGCTGCTCTCTGTCTGACCTTGCTTCGGTCGGCTCGGTGGTGGTGGTGTTGAGCAGCAAGTGTTGAGCTCGCGTGAGTTTTGTGCACAGGCTGCTGCCGCTCCTGAGGCTTGTCTGCCCGTGGGCTTTTCTCCGAATTCCTACGATTGCACTTTCTTTGGTGCGAAGATGCTTCAGTGGATCTGTCAGCTCGGTCGTTGCCCGCGACTCTAGGCTAGAATTGGCACGGCCGCAGGAGAAGAAATAGGTGCAAGGGTTTTCAAACTTCGAAATACTTAAATTGCAACTCCGAACTTCCTGCAGAAGGAGTGTTCCGAGAGGTCTGGAGCTCTTGAAGGAGCAGGTCCTAAAATATCTCGGTGATTGTGCCCTCTTTATTCCGACATTTGGAAAGGAGATCCAGTTTGGTGGGATGCAGAAGCAAACCGCCCACTTACTGTGCTTGGTTCGTGGGCTAAGAACGCCACCTCTATTTTCATTAGAACCTCTCGAGCGGCCATTTGACCTCTGGAAAAGAACGTTTCATTGGGGCGGAGCTTGAGACTGCATCAGAGGTTCCCAGAAGGCGATTTGAGTCTGCCATCATTTGACGAGGACCACGATAACTCTAGCCCCCTTCGTGACAATGGTAAGCTCCTTGAGGAGCGTGGAGCTCTGGACCGATATAGGAGCTTGCTAAGGTGCAGCTTGGAACCTGTAAAAGTGCTCTAAAGAATTCGCCAGCCCCCCAACAGTCCCAACTTCATCTGTAGAAAGACATAATGTCATTCCCATTGCACTGCAGGCTGACTATGTCACTGATGCTTTACGTCCACCTGCAAAAGTGACGAGCCGAGATCTACTACAAGAATTATGGCTATATGTACCTCCGGTAAGGCGACCAAAAAGGTAAATCAGATATAATCTGTTGTGCTCTGCATTGACTCGGTGATCTTTCCAAGACTCCATGACCCTACGCTATCTGCAAAATCCCTCTTTCGATGGACCTATGGATGTACTCAAGAAAGCATTTTGCTTCACACTAAGCCTCGCTGCTTATCTCATTCAACCTCTCCGCCTCCGTCGGGTGCTGCTCATTTTATAACAGTAATTGTAGTCGATTCTCTCTAAAGTGACACAAGTCTGAGTTGCTGGAGTGCATCCTTTCAGTGTATATTATCCAAACCATTCACTCACCTTTTTTCATCAGACTAGCCATGAAATCTTCCCTGAAGTCAGCCTGCCGTCTCAAGCAAACTTGTCACCTTCTCTGGAAAAATTCTGTGATTCTGTGATCTAAAGCCTGGCGACAACTTGTGGTCCGAGGGGGTACAGCTGGGATTTGCCAAGATTTTGCTTCCTTCTATTATCCTGTGGATTGCAAACCGTACAACTTGCAAACAATTTGGGTGCATCTGCTCTCGGGTCCTACTTCTTGTTTAAGTACTGGCCAACCTTTCTTTGATTGCATCACCGTCCTATGGGCCCTGCTCCTAGACTAGTCGATTCTGTTCTTACCATCAGCTGAACTCTTCTACCAGACTTGCTACTTGTGTCGGGGCCAACGACTTGAGTCTTTCTTGACCTCCATTGAGATCCAATCAATTGGACTTGCAATTCACCAATTATACGAGGATTAATTGTGATGTTCTAAGTAGATTACGATGGGGTCTTGATCGAGGATGGCAAAATTCTATGATGTATTATAAATACTCTAATAATATATAGGTCTTTACTAGGTTGAGTGTGAAATTCTCAATATGTTAAAAGAGTACTTTAGAACAACCTTACAAAGCTGCTAGTGTTTTAACATAAGTTAGGTGTTTTTAATCATAATTCTCATTTTAGAATTCAAATATTTTGCTAAAATCTATTTTTTCCGCAGATTGTTTTAATTTTTTCTGGAAGCAATATTCTAAAACATAATTTAAGAAATATAAATGAAGTCAATTATTGTTTATTCTGATTAATGTAACTAAAATTAACTCATTTGTTGAATGTGAACCTTAAATGTTTTCAAAAGCATAATAATAAATATTAAAAATGTAAAAAATAGATCTACATTAAAAAATAAAAAGTGCAAGAACTTGCTTTATAAAGATTGTGATAAAGCTGATTATCTGAAGATAGGTAATTGTATAAAATTCAATATATACATTGAACTCTTTACGCAAAACGTCCCAAAGAATCAAAGAAAAAAGACGATGATATGCTCTTCTTAATTCTAAAAACATGTCTTTTGTTTCTTCTTGAGCAAATATTCAGCATCATAAAAAAATGAGGATGATCTGCTTGATGACAATTATACTTTACGATGTCAAAGATATATCTTTTTCATTTCATCTAAAAGAAAAGGAGATGAATAGATATTTAATTGTGCTTGTTCTATCACTTGTGTTCCTACATACATTTTTTTAGTTCCAACTCGATAAATAATAATTCAATTTGATGAGCAAGGATCATACCTGTTCATTTAAAGCTATTGGATCTATCTAGACTTACAGGTTTGAAATTTTGTGCATACATTGACAACTGATAATTTATCTTGGACATAAGTATGAGTTTGATATCTTTGGATATGTTAGAATTTAAATCAATAAAAAATAATTGATGATAGACTTCAAGCCATGATCGAGAACACTTTCATCTTGAGGTAAAATAATCACAATAATTTGAATGTGCTAGAAGAGAAATTAATTTTTTGAATAGTGCATGTTCCTGGATATTATGATGAAAATAAATATTTGTGTCATTGAAGACTATTTCACATTATTGATAGATGATATATATTCTTCACAAGAAAAATTTTAATTCTTATTCTTTTGGTTATTTATCATTTTTTAAGCATTTTGTGTTGTAAGATCCATAGTGATATTGATATATTTGTTTATAATAGTCATAGTTAACTCTTTGACTATCTTAGTCGTATGTAAGTTAAGTTAATCATGATTAAATAAATCTATTAAACATATACATGAAACTATCTAACAATTACGGATAAATATCATTATATTATATTTAATCAAGAATTAAAATTCAAAACATACAATATCTGAGTTATAACAATTTTGATTAGTTCAACTTAGTAAGTAAGTTTAATCATAAATCTTTGAAACTTTCAAGAATATTCAAATATGCATGTTTCTTGATACAAAAAAACTTTATACACATTATTTTCCCATTTTTATTAAATAATTTAGATTGGATTTTAATTTATGTTAAATAATTTACTCCACATCTACATTTACACTATTTCCTTTCAAATTATTTTATTTTCATCATAATTAATCTTGTTAAGTTTAACTAACCTAGTTACAAAAGAATTACAAAGTAACATGTAACTGGCCTTGTTAAAAATATTCTATCAATATGTTGATGAGTCGACATGCCATTGAATATCTTGTAACTTCCGTACACTCAACTTGTCAGTAAGTTAAACTTATATTTATTCCAACCAATAAAATCTTATTACTTATTATAATCTTATCAAGCAAAACAAACATGTTTGGAATCTTTTCATAGTTTGGAATCTTGATTCGAATAAAAGATATGATGATCATCTGCAACTTCTGAAAAGTGTTTTAGTTCTTTAATCAAATATAAATATAATAGCAAAAAATACATTCAATCGAATCAATTTCTACTTGGTTTAGTAAATTAATATATAACATGCAGTAAAAAAATTACATAGTTTGGATTTTAAATTATGTTAAAAGATATAATAGAGATGTTCATCCGCAACTTCTAGAAAATATACATCAACCAGAAGGATGCAAAAGCTTATGGCAGCATAGTAGTTATGAAAACCAAGTATGAAGCGCGGATAAAGAACTTGCAAGAGCGCAAAGAATGTCAATGGAGCATGGAGCGGAAATTGACTGATGGAAATGTTTCCGAGGGATAACATAGTAACCTTTTGAATTATCCACAGACGATGGAGACAAACTATATGCATTTTCAAACACATGAAATGGGAATTGTTGACTTTGAGCTTCTGAAGATCATAGAATAGTAGCTTTCAGAGACTTTAAATTTCGCAAGAAAAAAATTAACTTCCAATTGTATGCAATGGAGAAATTAAACATGAATGTGAATGCTCCGGAGAGTACAAATGAAGCATGTAAAGGATGAGAGAGATCTGTTTGTGGAGGTTGAAAACAACTATACCGTTAAGCTTTATTGCTTTTTCCAAGATGACGAGTATCTTTATTCTTTATAAGCTATCTTCTTGGAGTAGACACGATGACTCTTTTTGTGCAGAAGAATTCCTTGATAGAGTACGAGGCTAGAATTTATGTTTGACAAATTCTTTTGGGGATCAATTTTTTTACTAAAACACAATTACATTCACAAGGATATCAAGACCGATAATCTTCTCCAAGACAAAGAAGGACATATGAAACTATCACACTTGTACTTCGTGAACGACTTACCTTGAGCTGTGCAACCTTGTGGTTTATTTTGACATTTTTGAAACCCGCTAGTCAGATGAAGGTCTTCATTAACACTAGCAAGAGGGCAAGGAATTTTGAAGTGTGGAAACATATAAAACTTTAAAGATTACTAAAGGTCAATGCTTGTCTTAATGAAGCAACAACACAACATCAAGCAAGACTTTAAAATGAAGTAGCAAGCTGAATGCAGTACTAAATTTTAATGGTACATTATTTAAAGGTCTCATCTTAATTGGAATCTTTCTTCTAGTGAGAGTTTCCGAAGGTAAGGAAACTTATTCGGGAGAACATGTGCAGCATCCTAGGCCATCACAATTATCATCACAAAACAAATAAAACAAGGAGAGGTTAGCTATACCTCAGTTTATGTTATTTATTTTTCACCTTGATGCAACCTACAAAGCCAACGGACAAGTATAGAATTAACTTGTTGTTTCTATAATAGTTCCCACCAACACCTTTGACTACTAATTTTTTGACAATACATTTGGACTCTCAACAAGATTAAACCGGGTTTTTAAAGATTTTGATATTACACTCAACAACTTTTGTCACGGAACTTACGTTAATAAACTGAATTAACGCATTGTTTCGAGAGGAGTATATAATACTGCTCCGTTTGCATATGAGAAAAACATGTTTGCAAAAGAAAAATATAACTTTGAGACTTAAGAACAGTTTCTATAGGGTGAGTATAATTGACATAAACTGAAGTATAACTAACCCTCCAACAACGCGATACAAGCAAACCGAGTGATGGCTAATTGGAAGTGGGTGGGGATGCCCGCCTATCCTCGTTTTAATACCTTTCATTTATTTGAGTATGTGTGAACGCACTGGACGATCTCCTCTCGGTGGTTCACGACTTCGGCAATTAAAGATGCACAACACGAAAATGGCAAACCTTACAAACCACGACGACGACGGACGGCGACAGCAGCAGCAGTCTCCATCTGCAAGTCCAGGGAAGTGTAAACGTTGAGGCCCAGAAGCCCTCCTCCTTCTGCTCCTTCTGCTCCTTCTCGTCGATGTGGAGATGCATTTCAACACTTGGCCTGTGATCGAGGCGACGATGACGTCTCTGCTCTCAGCGGGGGATCAGTGAGAGGGCGATCTTGTAAGTTCCTCTCTTCTAGACAAGCTCGCTCTTTTGTCAGCGAGCCTGCGTTGTCAAGATGGGAGAATGGCCTTTTCACTCGAAGACCGAGGAGGATGCTCTCGCTTGAAACGACGGACCCACCAGTTGGCAACCAGCTCAAGTAGCGCATCGTGAGCTCGTGAAATCTGCAAATGTCAGCTGAATGAATGATTGATTGATGACCGGCGGGAGGTATCTGTGTCTCCGCAGAATAGCATCTGATGGGGTGGAAGGTGAAGTTCGAGTGCGAGTGCGAGTGCAGAGGTAAAAATGCAATGTGGGCTCGCCGGAGTGTGGGAGAATTGGAAATGACGGAGGCCGAGCGATTTGTGCTGTGAGGAGGACCGAGGACCGGACTCGAAAGATGGAAAGTAAGCTGGAGAGGGAGGGGTGGCGACTGCAGCCAGGGGTGGTGCAGGGGATAGTGGAGCGACTCCAGAAGGAGGGCGTGAGGGATCTGGAGACGGCGCTCAGGACGGAGCTGCTGGACTCGGATATCAAGTTGACCGGCGCTAAGTGCCTGCCGGATGCGCAGTCTTTGCTGCAAATTCGCAAATTGGAAGGGTTTTATGTCCTCCAGGTATGCCCAAATATGCTCACCATTTTCTTGTCGGTATCAATCAATCAATCAATCAATTAATGGTTCTGCAAATGAGGCCGCTCTCAGTCCTGCTGTGTTCGTTATCCTCTCAGCGCTGAGCTCGTTGTGTTTGCCGAGGGGACGGCATGCCATCCTTTGTGAACCCGTGTGCTGTAGCGGGTTCTTAGTGATCCGGAAGTAGGGCGCAGCATAAATGAGTTGAGTGTGTATATGGGTGTGAGATTGCTGTCCAGGTTGAGTACAACACTGACAATCTGAGTCGGATGCCTTGGACGAGGCAGGTCTTACACATCAATGATATCAGTGAAAGCAGTAAGTCTGTGCACGCGGGGCAAAGCGAACACAGACTCTTGCGCTTTCGACTTTCTGATGGGCATTCGACGGTCACGGCCATAGAACATTCTCACGTGCCTTCAGTTTCTGCAGATCTTCCTCCCGGTACGAAGGTGATTCAATCAATACCCCTTGTGGTCTTCTTCCCAGGGCGGCATTCGTGTCCCTGCCCGATTGTGCATACAATAGTTCTCTTGATCCAGGGAAAGGATGGGAGACGAGCAAAATCAGATCTTTATCATCTTTGTTTCTCATAATATTAAACCCATATATGAGATATGTAGATAGCATGTGTTCCTCCCAAAATGGTTGCACGAAGAGCTCAATGTGCTCACAAAGAGGTCACGATTAGAAGCTGCTTACTGATGATTGCCACGAGCTGTATAATGTAAATATGATCACCGAAGTGGTAGCTAACGTGTGGAATTATCAGACTGCAGGCAGCATCAATGAAATCAGAACTGTTGTTTTAATTTCATTGTAAATGTCGGTCTAAACCTTCCATTTAATTCCTCAATTTTTCAGCAGGATGCTTTGCCGTGCTTCTGTTCTCTTCCTTTTGCTTGTCAGACTCAATGCATCGGTTTATGACTTACGCTAGTGCCGTTCTGGTTGTAATTCCCAGGTCTGTACTCTTTGTCCTCTTGGGTTTTAAGCTCTTGTGCTTGAGCTTGATCACTTGTTATTTCAATTATCGTGATCTGACTGTGAACTGCTAACATTACTTCTCTTTACGTCAGGTTATATTGGGCAGTCCAGTATCTGTACACTCGGGGATTTTGTTGCTGGAGCCTAAGTGTATACGGGTACTTGGTGGCCATGTACAAGCACTGTATGACGCATGGGAGATTGACCGAAAATACTCCGGGCTTGCTCGAGAGGAAGCAAGTTTACGCAAGACAAAGGCTCAAGATGGAACTGGGCCGCCTCCTTTTCGGGCTCTGCAACTCGGTCGAGCTGCCAGAGCAACAAAAGCGTTGCAAGCTGTCCAAAACAACAATAATATTCGTAAGTAGGGATGGGGTTTTCAAGACATCAAAAACATTCGTGAGTAATGATACGGTATCGAACACTTTTGCTCTTCTACTTTGGTCACAGTCACTACTGTCTGTCTTATAGGCCTAATCCCCATGAGGAATATGCATCGTCGTTCCTTGCAGGAAATGCCGTCGGTATAGGTTCACCGCGGGGACCAGCTTCAAATGTCGCAACAAATCAATTTTCGACCTCTCGTAAGGAAGAATTGGCACCTTTACCCGCTGCAGCACCAGTTCAGATTTCAAAAGAGGAGGCTAGATTAGTAAGCAGACCTAGACCAACCATTCGCCCAGGAGCAGAACCTTACAGGCCCCGCGTGGGAGGTTCAGCAGCTAAGGATTCCCCAACAGGAACGAAAAGTAGCCCCAGCATGGAGTCATCTCCAGCGTCACCGATGTCTGTCTTTAGGGAGGCCAGTCCACAACATGAACAACATTCTGTCCAGTCTCAACCCCATGAAGCAAGACCAGTTAGTGAGGGTACGGGTTTTCCAAGAGTATCTTCAGCTCTGCAGGCAGCTCCGTTTGTTGGAACGGCTGCTATGGAACCTTCAATATCACAGAGAGCTGCAACAAGCCTGGACCCAGGTACGTAATACGATTCAATTATACGATTCTTGGAAGAAACATTCAGATAGAGATAGCGCTGGGACTTTATTGGAAATATTTGTACTTAGAAATTTAGAAACACAAGAAATTTGGTCAACGAACACCTTGATGAATTCAGGAATTTTTTTCTCAGGACTTTCTGCGACTCCAACTGGCAGAACAGAGAAAGAAGTGAAAGCAGAAGGAGATGAGAGGTCAAAAGCAATACAAGACGTCCTTGATCTTGGAATAGAGGCTGTGGTTCCACAAAATCGTCAAGCTGCACAGAAACTCTTGGAGAAGCAAATCGATACAGATTGGAGAAGAGGGCGTGGTCGAGGGGGAAGAGGAGGATTTGAGGAAAGAGGCAGGGGAGGTAGGAGAGGAGGCAGGAGATCAGACGAGGATGATTCATCTGTCATGACGTTGGATGAGTGGGAAGCGAGGAAAAGCTCCGTAAATACTGCCACAAAAGTGGCCAACATCAGCAGTAGGGCAGGAGGAAGCATCCTGACAGACGAGCAGCTGGCTTTGCAGCTCCAGCATCAGATGGATTTAGAGGCTTCACAAGGTTACCTGGTATGTGGACAATTTTCAAAGTACTATTCATTCATGTTCAATACTTTCGATCTCATTTTTGAGTGTTTGACCCACTGCTTAAGTTGTGTTCCTCAACTTGGTATGGTGCAAATCTTCTGCAGGGCCAAGGAAGTACATCAAAGGAAGCGGATGCTGCAGAACAATTGAGGATGAGTATGTTCAGCTTCACAGGAGAAACCAGAGGTGAAGAAGATAGCAGAGGCAGAGGTAGAGGAAGAGGGAGGGGCCGAGGAAGGGGCAGGGGCAGAAGACATGGTTGAGCTCCTCGTTTTGAGAAGCAACGCACGTTCTCCTTACATCTTAGATCTAGAAAAATCATGGGAGCTTATAGTTTAATTGCAGATCAGGTCCACTGCGCATGCAACATTGGCTCATCTCAACCATGATGACAGTCACGTAGCCAACCTTTTCAAGAGGATGCATCCTGAAGCTGATTATGTTTTCTATCACAGAAACCAAGAAGGTGACTTATGTGACTTTGCTATTTCCACTACCAACGTTGTGGACAGTAGGCATCGAAGAGCAGTACAACGTGGAAAGTTGAGCGGAATATCAAAGTCCGATACATTTTACACTGAGTATCATTTTGAGGTTCATACTGATTGTTTCTGACCAGAGTGACAGCCGCCTTCATTATTGTGGTTGCATTATACCGCTCTTCCAATCTTGTCGAAACTGTCTTCACTATGAACTGTTTCATTTGTGATGACATGGTGTAAGAAGACACCGGAAAGGAAATTCAATGCTAGATTCCTCGAAGACCATAAAGAGGGAGGTGTTACCGTGTACATTTTTCGTGGTAATGTGTCCTATCTTTTGTCTGGCGTGAGCTGGAGTTAGCAACTTCCTTTGTGAATACCGTCTACAACGAGCTATGTGAAAGCCAATTACTAAATCAGATGAAATTTACAAGAAATTTTAGAATTCTCAACTAAAATCAATTTTCAAACCAAAAATGTATCCACGTTGATAAAATATAAACGAGAGATACGTAGTTGCGTATCTATCATTCGATTGAACACATAGGCGGATGGGCATATATTGGCTTAGTTTAACTATTTCTTGTATTCATCGAAACTACAATACATTGAGTGGAAACACTTGTTCTTCACACGAGATCGAAGATGTTGCTTAGAAAATGCTTTGATAACATAGGTGGTCTTGACTTATAGTCAAGTCAGTTTTTTTCAATTTTGGGCATATTTTTTTTTCTGTGAATTAACAATCTACTGTACATGCTACAATTACGTATAATTATCAATAAATGAGATAGTAAGAAGTTACGTACACTTGGAAATGTAGATGAAAGTAACTCTGTATATGTATCGTGAATGTGATTGAAATGATAATGAAAATAATAATAATTGTCACAAAATCGAGGTAGAAAGTTGAAATGAATATTTCTTCACTACAAAATAGGAATACTTCTGATTATTTTTAGCGTGAGTATTTATAGTATATGTCATTTTTATTTCTGTGCTTTTAATTTAAAAAGTAGTGTGAACTCTAGTTATATTTGTATGTAAAAACTTATTTCCATAAGAACCGAGAAGAACTAATCGAAATTAACGCAACCTATAGGGTTTTTCTTTGCAGCATATGTCAAAAATCTAAACTAAATTAATTTGAAATTAAATTATACATATTTGATCACCATCATAGAGTTCCGGTTCAACTTAATACCCATCAAATTCGTCATTATTTGTTGTCATCGTAATACACGTTGGGAGTATAAGCTTTTGGATTGTTCTTGGAAGAGTAATAGAATCTTGAACAGCAGTGAATTTTATACTACTATATTTTACCCAATAAAAGATAGCGGTTTTTTTGGAAACTTATTTGGTGATTATTTAAGATTAGCGGAGTTCTTTCGATGCATACTCCGTATTCACCTTCAAGATCATGTAGGTCCAAATGGTCACCAAATACACCGTCAGTGTCTCATTCCAGCGTGATGTACTCGAGATCTCATGCAATAACTGACGAAGTTTGTGAAAAAGCAAGCTCATACTTCGACATGACTGAAATCAATCGATCAATGATGTATAAAACGGATTATTTTTCGTTTTAAAGTGTTTGCTGGACTGCAAAAAATAAAATATCGGTTTCACGTGGAAAAAACTTTTGGTCTCGTCGGTCCAGTGGACGGTCAAGCGTACCGTAGTGGAGGACCGATTGTGGGCTGGGACCGCTGGATTCATGATTTTGGAATTTGGCCCGGGGGACCTTAGGACGGGGACAAGGGTTCGGAGGGTTTGGAGGGTTTGGACGAGAAGAACGAATTGACGACGAGATCGATCGATGCCTCGAATTCGCTTGCAGGCAGAAATGAATGCGACGGAATCACGAAGGCAGCAGTGAGCAGGAATCAGCGGAGCTCAATCCCTCGCTCCTTGCAGCATTTCCGGGCGCTCCCGTGCTGTTGATTCGATTGCAGCCGACATGGCGGGAGACGGGGAGGGAGGCGCTGTCGAGCTGCAGCTGGGAGCGCAGCCTTTCGATCTCGCATTCCATCCAACTTCCTCGATCGTTGCCGTCGGTGTCATCACCGGCAGCCTCCAGCTGTAAGCCCCTTGATTTCAATTGTGGGTTCCTCTCAGTTTATCAGAGTTCGTGGAGAAAAAAAATTCAAGGTCGTCGAGCAATTCTCCAAGTTTTCACCATCAGCTGCTTGCTTGCTTTTAAACCATCGCCGGTGTCCGGGAGTGGCTGCCGGCGAGATACTCACTTCAGATTATGGAAATCATTTTTTTGTTTTTCTTCCCAGGTTTAAGTACGAAGCTGGAGCCGAGCCTCAGAAGTAAGTCTTCGCTCTGTGTTCAGCCGTATTGTGGACAGGTTTTGTCAGTCACGAGAGAATGCAATTTGAATTGGAATTCGTTGGGAGAAAACATTCCAGTTGTATAATTTGATTTTCAGACTACAGGAATTCCACCGTCCTTGCTTTTTTCTCCGTCGTGTTTGCTAACTACTGAGACTCTCACGCAGACTGTGGACTGTGAACGCCCATACCGAGTCATGCAGAGGGGTTCGCTTTGCCGAGGGAGGCAGATGTAAGTTCATATGCTCTTCCGAAACTTGTGTAAAAGCAGCTGGGACTGTAATTTTAAACTGCAGTACTCTGAACTGAATGCTTTGTGGTTTTGCTGCTTAATCACAATGAGATTTGATACTCTTCTCTTGCAGTCATATTGAGCGCTTCAGCAGATCACTCAATTTTAGCAACAGACCCCGAAACAGGACAGGCCGCAGCCCGACTTACGGACGCCCACGAGTACTACTGCTGCGCCTTGACTCGCATTTGCTTTGTGCGCTCTCTTGTTGGAAAGGCGCTATTTGCCTCATTATTGAACACCTTGAGCTTGACATTTTCACATGTTCACGCGAGTCCTTCCGTGCCTGTTTTCAGCCGTAGTTCTTCTGACAGTCCCATGTAATTTTCCAGTGCAGCAATTAATCGCATTGTCAATGCCACTGAGACGACGGTAGCAACAGGAGATGATGAAGGAACGATCAAGGTGGACTTCCTCACTCCTTGGACCTTGTTACCTATTTTACCAAGAGTCGCGTCGAGGAAATTGGTTGCTGGATGCGATGATCTTGTATCGTGTTCCTAATGTCCAGCACTGGAAGCAAACCAAACGTTTGTAGTTTCCCAAATACTTACTTCTCGAGGGTGTTCATGTTGATGACGCTCACTTACCAAAGTATTACCCAAGGATTAGCAACGTCAAAGAGAGGACCGTGTTCAGTTTAAGCAGAGGAGTTCGTCTGATTTCTGACTTTATTTGGCTGTATTTCTTGGTGAGATGACAGATTTGGGATACACGACAAAATTCCTGTGTTGGAACGTTTGACACTCATGAAGATTTTATAGCAGATATGGAGTATGTACCTGCTAGTCATCAGTTACTTGGTGCCAGGTGCAGTTTTTATCATTGGCCTCCGTGTTTTCTTTATGTTACATGCTCATTTACAGTAAGCAGCCACCTACTGCCACCACTGTCTTGCCTCTTTCGAACTAGCCCCCTCAGGAGGGTGAGTGTGGACAGACGATTTCGTGATTCTATACTCCCTGCTACTCGCAACATTCCTTTTAATACGGTAATTCATCATTTATGCAGTGGAGATGGAACTCTCTCTCTCTGCAATCTTCGAAGAATGAAGGTATGGAGACTGTTTACTCTGACTTTTGTCGCCAGTGTAATGAGCAGCCTATATTTGTCCGAGAATTGTGGGAATCGTATCCTAGGCTGCAGTTTTGTGTTGATCGTCCTATTGTTACACGATCTGCAAAGACACATGAGAGATCAACAAATTTGAAGTTGATCTGAATGTCTTCACAGGTTGATGCCCAGTCACAGTTCGCGGAGGATGAACTCCTGTCTGTCGTGGTTGTTAAGGTACGTGTTCTTTGACACTGATTCAATCAACGTCTTCGTTTAATGTTGTTGCAAGTTGATATGGAGACTCATTTTTGCAAGCTCGTAATCTGCTAAGCTGTAGACAGTTTTGAACACCAGGCGTGCAAGTTCATATTTTATCATTTACAAGAGTTGGTCTTTCGCCAAGTTTGTGACAGCCGGGAACAGTCATAGATCATGAATTTTTGATTAATCACCAGTTATTATTGATAATTTACCAGGGGAATTACTTCCAGTATATGATAACGCTAATCCACGAAAGCAGGTCATATGAGTTCTTGAGCTCTTGAGCTAATTATGCTGTTGAGAAACCAACATTTTTAGCCTATGTTTTTGAGATCATTTACTAATCAATCACGGGTGTGTTTACCTTGATGACTCTGTAGAACGGAAGGAAGGTGGTTTGTGGGTCACAGGAGGGCATCTTACTTATCTACTCGTGGGGTTATTTCGCAGATTGCAGGTGAATATGTTTTACCCTGATAGATCTTTAGTCATGTAGATTAGTGGGTGAGCGGAATAGCAATGCCATTGTGTTCATAAAATACAGGACATACAAGCCGGTGATGCACTCTAAACAGGAGTTCTGAAGTTTGTATTGGTCCTCGTATTATGCAGTGATCGTTTTGTAGGCCATCCGAACTCTGTCGACGCCTTGTTGAAGGTATGTACTGATGAATGTTACTTGAGTTGCAAGCTTTAGGCTGCTGATTTGAGTTAGTTCTTGAGGTTTGACCCGTTCGTCCCGCTCAGTTTATCTTCCGTTGTGATTTTACCAGGGTAGGTTCTCGTGTGCCGTAGTACTGTCACGTCAGGGTTGCCTAAAATCTCTTTTTTATTCGAAAGGATTACCACAATTTGAGATTATTCTATAATGAGCATTTTGAACATTTGTCCGGCTTCTTATCTTTGTTATAGCTAGATGAGGAGACGCTGATTACGGGCTCAAGTGACGGAATGATCAGGTAAGCAGTATCAACTGTCTTTTTTCAGCTGTAAACTAGAAAAGCACAGAATCACTTAAGCAACTGTTTTCCAGGGATCGAAAAGGTTCTACAGATCTTGGATTTGAACTAATGTAATGACGTATGCCCATCAGAGTTGTGTCTATCCTTCCCAACAAGATGATTGGGGTTATAGGAGAGCATGCAGATTTTCCTGTTGAGCGACTAGGTATGTACCTTCATGCTTTCTAAACTCATGGCTTGTTTATTCTTGAGCCTGATTCGACTTCTCTCGTCATTTCTTATGGTTGCGCCTCTTTGCCTTCTCTTGCTATCTTACTCACTTCATGATTTAGGATTTCGTTTGTAAGTCGTATGCTTTTATTAGTCCCGTCACATAACAAGTAGTGCCCACAACTACATATTGTCTTGTATTGGAACGCAACATGTGTCTCATGATTTTGCAAATCTTTGTTTTATCTGGAGTATTGGTTTAGTAGACATTAATGAGGATCGTTCACTTCTCTTCCAGCGTTTTCAAGCGACAAATCCATCTTGGGAAGTGCATCTCACGATAACACTGTTAAGGTAATTTAAGGCCTTCTTTGATATCGTATATACGCAATTTAAGGAGAAACCGCATTTGGCTGGGACAACTCATTAGGAAAGACGTATGTTCCTTGTTTGCTTGATGAGGTTAGCATCATTCCTTTGGATATTCATTGTTCGTTCTTTGCTCGCTTTTCAGCTTTGGGATGTCAAGTATCTGCTAGAAGAAGATGAAGGTATTGAGGAAGAGAGGCAGGAAGCCAATGCTGACGTGTCAGGGAGAGATGCCGATGCATCAGTCCCAAATGGCACACCAGCTCAGGCTCCCATGGCTGTCGATAGCGATGAGGAAATGGACTCTGACGAAGATCAAGGTGAGAAATCGTCATCATATTTCCTTGTGTCTGTACGGTGATTCTTCACCTGCAACATGAGCCATCTTTCAAAGGATGTGTTGACAACACGTTTGGATTGATGAATTCATCAGTATACTCTGCTGTCTATGTATTGATAGGGGCGAAAGTTGTGCTTAGAGGTGAAAAATTTTATATCTGTTTGATAACGAATCTCCTTATTTTTGTCCTGACCATCCTGTGCAGGAGCAGGATCAAGCTCGAAGAAGAAAAAGAAGGGTAAAAAGGTTACTACCAAAAATAATACATTTTTCGATGGCCTTTTATGACAAAAGGCAAATTATCCGGGGTCCTTCTGTTTCTGCAATAAAGCTCAGATTTATCTTGCAGTGAATTGCACATTTATTTTTCTGTTTTGTCCTCTAGCATTTAAGGGCACACAAATGTTGTACAAGGTGAGTAGAAAGCCCTATCATGCCCCCCGGTAAGATTTCGTAGGTCTTTGAGCAATATTCAATAATCTTCTACGTTCATATTTAAGGAAGTCAACGGGTTTTGCTTTGGGACGACAGCTCTTCCCAGATTCTGAGCTGTCACAAAGCAGAAAAATAGTGGAACAGATTGGTCTGTTGTTGAAACAAGATGCGGATCGACAAGTCTCAGAATCTGCAACATCGACAAGGAATGTACTTCTGCTTTATCTGTAACCTGTTTGTACAGTACATAGGAGAAATATGGACTGTGGTACAACCTAGACGGTTTTTCCAGAGTCGCGTTACCAGTAACTTAATACTCGTAACTTGTGCCCCGAAAATGGACTAGATGTACCGCTGCAACATCTCAAAGCAAGCACAAAAAGTACATTATTTGAAGGTGAGATCAGGATGCCATCAGGAACTTGCATAACTTTCGGTTTCGAATCAAATTTGTATAAATCCTTTTGTGTTCGGTTTCTCGAGAGCGAATTTGAGACTTGTAGAGTGTGTAAACCGTAAGAAAAGTTCCAACTAGAGATGAGTTGCGTTTGAGCAGGGAACGTATTTTCTCGGGATTAATAAAATAAAAAATTGCTTACAGAACAAAAAACCGAAAGTTGGGTGGAATCTATCGTAGACGGGACTCGCCAGGATGTGTTTCTCTTTCCGCCGAAGCAAAGAAGATAGTGAGGTCAAGGTTATGTCCTCGATTACTAGTACCCGAAAAGATCTTCACATAGCATCCGATTCAAGAATATATATAATCGAATTAATCCACTAAAACTGCATGCTGAAGGACATAACCCCTACTAATTGTATCTTCTTTCCGTGTAAAGTGAATTAATCACTGTGCCCGAAATACGAGTATTATCTACATGCCCAAATTTCGTTAAGCATAAGAAAGATTTGATCTGTTCTCAAAGAAACGCATGAAAATTGGCTTGTGGACACAAGGAATTGGTGAGATGTATATGACGTTGAGGATAGGGATTAAGGAATGGTGAGATGCGTCCAGAGCAGTAGAAGAGATTTCACGGGTTGTCCCAAAATCTTGTCTGTAGTAGCGACTCATGTAAAGGAGACTTGGGCAGTAAGTGAGTAAGTATGTGAGTAGGTCAATACATAAAGAAATGCATTGTTCTATCAAGAGCAGCGGTAGGTGCTACATAGGGGAGAGATATGACGAGATTTGATGCTTAGTCGGATGCTCGAGTAGTATTAAAACCGCTACTGCAGACCAGCCTTCGCATCCTCTTTGATATATTCCTCGCTACTGCCATTCTTCTACGCTTCACCCAGGAATCAGAGCTTGAGGGTAGAATTAAATTACATTGAACGGAAGGAAGGTTCTAATGACATGTTAGTACACGAACAGCCATTGAAGCCATTTCATGATTCACCCTGAGGTCAAGTATCAGTGAATCTATTGAACAAGTCATATAACGAAGATCGTAGGGAGTGGGTGGGCCCTTGAGCAGATGTCGCTCAATATCTGTTTGTTCAGATCAATGTGTAAGACCATTTCTGTGTCCCTTGCCCGAATCCATGCCCTCCCCTCGCCGCTTTGTATCTAGTTTGAGCACAGCACTCAGACCGGAAAGAAATGGGCAGTGCACGTGAGCCTATTCGATTCCTCGGAAGCTTACATTTATGTCCCGAATGCACATGAGCAGGTTTCCAGAAGGTCACGGGATCCACTCCAGTCCTCAAGGAAACAGAATGATCGAGTGGAAAAAGCGACATTTCTTCTCAATCTGGGATCTCATCTCCTTAACTTGGCCGAAAATAAGCATGCAACAATGATTGATTTATTCGACTGCGTATCTCGGCAATGAGCTGCGCAGACGTGAGCGTCTACGACATCTGCAGTCTGAACGAGCCTTATGAAGTCTACAATGAACATGTACAGCGTAAAGAAGCTCAAGGGCAAGTGCCTGGTCTGAGGAGAGGAGCAGCCTGTAAACTCATCACATCAGAATCAGTCCGGACCAAAATTACAGCTCAGCTTTCTGATAAGACCTTGTTACTTCTACCTCCTCGTTCGGCAGGAACATGTACATTCGGTTCCCTTCCTCATGTCCTCACTACGTTCAGCTTCAAATTGGACGTGATTCTCTTTGACGAGGTCGAGATTATGGCAAGAGGCTGGTCCGATACGTTCTGTTCATTACCCTTCAAGAGCGGATATGGAAATCTAAGGATTCTATAAAGATGCGTAGCTTTGGGAATCTATTGCTCGAACTCTGACAGGCATAGATCTGGAATCGAGCAAATTGAAGTAGATCCGGTTCAGGCTTTATGCGCAATATCATACAATATGAACATAACACCCGATCATGCTCTTGGCCCTTAAGATGCCCGTACCAGTGACCACGACATAGATGTGGAGGTGTGTTTGTTTAGTATGCAACTGTGGACACAAAGCGATATAAGTAGTCCGATGGAGCTGCTCGGAAGATATCACATCGTCTTCTTCTGCAAGAGAGATAGAGAGAGAGAGCTCGTAGCATCTAGTAGCTGCAAGCTGCAAGCCTCTTCTTTGTCTCAGTTGATAACTCCTCGTAACATCTGCTCTAGACAACATCGATCATGCCGACCTTCGAGACTGAAGTGGTTTTGGCCCTGCCTGCCAGCCGCTTGTGGAAGTCTATGAAGGATGCCAACACGCTCTTTCCTAAAGTTGCACCTGAGGTCATGGCCAGCATCGAGGTTGTGGGCGGAGCCGATGCTGCACCCGCTCCTGGTGCAGTCCGCATCATCAAATTCGGCTCAGGTTCTTCTCTCTTCCATAAGATTAGACCGTACGTGTCACTTGCAGATTGCAATTTGCAATTTGCAGCCCATGAATGGAGAAAATAATCGCCGAAAGGTTCACAGGGGAGACACTGAAAGACCCTGGAAACATGTTCAGCCTGCACGATGATGCTGTTGAATCGTCAGTTCACGAGATTTTCACATCCTTTTTGCAGGGATCGCATTCACACTAGAATCTACAGTCCTTCTCGGATCACATTGTATACATCGATCAGTATCTCAGTCCAGTTGTAGAAGAAAGATTGCTATGTAATGTTCCGTCTGTCAGTCAAGCCCACATTAAGCTGATGAAGGGATGGGCATATGGGCATTTTGGCATTTGATTCTCGTTGGTTTGTGATGCTGACAGTCGCCCCGGAAGGAGCCTACGTCAAGGAGCAGTTAGTGAGCCTGGATCATGATACGATGACTGTCGTGTCGGCGGAGATGGAGGGGGGCCATCTGGCAGCGGGTTTCACGAAGTGGGAGGCCACCATGCACCTCGTTCCTGAAGGTGACGCCAGTGTCAAAGTTCACTTTAGCTTCGAGTACGAGGGCCCGGGTCCAGTCGATGTCTCTGTTGCACAGGCCACGCAGGGTACCCCCATGCTTTTCAAGGCTCTCGAGGCCTACCTGTTGGCCAACCCAGACGCTTGAGCTCATAATCCAGATCTGCCGGGCCATGCGGGCTTATTCTTTTATTTTCAGCTAATGTGAGGAGGATTCACGATGAGTACAAGATGGGCCCTGGATTCCCGAGCAGCAGGGGTGATATTTACACTCCCCTGTTGACTTGATGGATGCAAAGTTGGTCTCATAGTCAGTCACAGAGACAAGGCCCTGCACACGGTGCAATGCAACTTTTGAGCTGCTGACCAATGGCACGCTAGTTCCAGAGGATTGAGGTCCTCTTTTGTACATCTCAGAAAGCAATTGAATTAAAGCACAAAAGGAGAAATTTTGGACCTCATTTTGCTGCCTTTTCTCGAAGAGACATTCTTGAGGCTTGTATGGCAAGCTTGCATTTTTTGAGAAATGTTTTTAAAAAATGTTGTTGAGAAATGTTGTTTAGATACATTTCCTTGAAGTAAGCTGTCCCTTACTTCTTACTCGCAGGAATTCTTACTAGTATGCAGAGTTTGCCTAGATATGCAGATGTTTAAACATTCTCTCTTGATGTTCTAGAGCATATTTCAACCTGTAGACTTTCCTTCCATCCCCCTGCATAGCCCTGCTGAGGTTAAAGCGTTACTGATAAATACTTACTACTGCGTGAGACGTGTAAAAATTACACCTAGAGTCCATGTTTGATGCTTAATCGGCCGTCTGTGTTGACGAACATCGAGAACTAAAATTGCGAGTATCGAGAGAGTGTACAATGGTCATCAATAGCAATGTTCGAGTGGATGGACTCACCGGTCGAAATCCAAGCCATCCACAACCGGTAAAACTCTGATGATCTGCAACTCTTTCAGGGGAAAACGTTCAGATGGTAAGACGTCCACTCTTCTGAGGTCCCACCATCTACAACTTCATCAGAGAATCATTGGAGATGGTCCCGCATCCAGACAGACAATGTCTGAATTCATGCAGCGTAGAGTAGTTTTGTTGACAGAATATAAGAAGATTGGGAACTCCATGTTAGTTAGTGGAACACTTTTTCAGTACCGAGGATTTCGACAAAATCACTTCATACGAACCGATACATCACCGCAAGCCTTCATCTTTGCAGCATGTACATTGGCTTTCATAAGCTATGAAAACCAATTCACATGCTGCATCCATACCATCTCGATATCATAAACTCTATGGACTTAAATGCGGCTGTTCATAACTAGTGCAGTTCTAGATTCTAACTTAGAGAATGCCCAGAAACATGAAGTTGGGTATTCAGTAGTGACCTCAAAGAGCAGAGCTCAATTTTTTTTCACTCAATCTTTGCACTCACTTTCATTCGAAATATCACACAAAGTCGAGGCTATGTCGAGCACGCTTATGGCAATTAATGAAAGTCTTCCATCCGTCGGCCGTCGATTCTTTGAGTGAAGCGCAAAATCGATCGTTTGTTTCAATTACAGGAGTATGACAGAGGATCAGCAATTGTTGATGAGGGGTTCGTTCGTTCCGTATGAGGTGATCACGAACAGCGCCCTGCAGCGTCATGTGTCAGGTCCAAAGACAAGCAGCTGTCTCTGCCAGCCATGCCAACGGGATGAGGTGAATGTATGATAGGAATGTTTTCAGTTGATCGGGGCGGAAAAGAGGAAGCTGCAGCGCCCGGGGAGAGCCGAGAGCTAGCGCTACCGGGCACGTACGAATCGAAGCCGCCGAATTCTCTTCTAATTGCATTGAAATTCCAAATGAATGTATAATTAGTTATTCAAAGGTGACAGACTGATTGAACTTGGGAGATCGACGTCGACAGATGGGAAACAGATGTTTTCTGAAAATTATTGAGAGAACTCATTGAACATTCTCTCGATGACTTGTGTCCGAGACGGCATTTTATTAGTTTAAAGTGAAATCCTCACCTTTATGTTTTTTTATTTCATCAAACATACTGTAAATACAGTTTGAAATAATATATATATATATATATATATATATAATATTTTACTAAAGCCCACGAAATAAATATATTTGACTGATTTATTGTTTGTTTAGTGTCCTGGAACCTGCCGCCAGAGATGTGCAACTGCAATAGCCTGCTGCAAGAAGAGGCCCGAGAAAGGCGGAGGGAGAATTTTCAGCTCTTCGGCCTGGACCTCGAGCACCGAGGCACATGTGAATGCAGGGGCGTGCCACTTGTGCTGCTGTGCTTGACTCCGTCGTCTAAGAAATCGGACAACGGAGAGTCCCCGTGCTTGCGCGGGTGATTTCATGGGACGTTTCTCCTGCTCACTCGTAAGTCTCGTACGGCTCTGCAGAACTCTCTACCAGCAGCTCATCTCATCAGATCATTCTTCTCAGACTCGGACTTGCGAGTGTTGCTGTCATCCCCTCGGCTGGACCGGTGGCACATCAAAAAACCGACATGTTCTCATGTTGGCTGACAAAGGCTTCACGATGTCGAACTTGGCCGAGGTCTGGACACTCGTGCGGACTGCACTTTTGCAGATTCCTGGCCACTACCATTTCTCATTCAACTACAGAGCTAGACTTAGCTGCGGCAAGCCATCGAGCCAGCTGGAAATTGCATCGGAAAAGTTTTCCTCTTTACCCCCAAGACTTTGAAAATGCTCAAAAGTAGATCTAGGGTGTGGAAACTCTGCCTTGCCACCTTGAGAATGAATGCGAAAAAAACTGGGATTCTTAGGCCCAAGCAAGATATGAATTCTACGCGTCGATAACCTCCACAAGTCTAACTTCTCGAATTCACATCTACGGGTGACTTATATTGCAGGCTAGAACCCCGAACGTATGACTGTGGGTTGACGGCATATGGTCACCGTCGTGACGGTCTCTCCTTAGTCACCGTCGCGTCATCCGTCCGGCGCACCCTCTTGTATTTAAATTCGACACATGGACACTCGATGTGAGAAACTTGTCGGCGCGATGGAAAGCGACGCGAGCCCGGCCCGAGTCCACCGCAATCGCTCACCTGCTCGACCGACCAAATTGACGACCAGATTATCTTGCTGGATGATGACCAAATCTCCGGTTAGAAGACTAAGAAACCTCAAGGCAGAAGGGTTGATTTGTGCCTGCAATGCAAACGCGAGTATATGGGTTTCTGGGTCGAAAAGTTGAGAGCGACTTTTTTTTTTTCCTCTCACCTGTGGCTGCTGCCAATGCTGCTGCTGCTAGTCATTCGATAACTCATTTTTGTTAATGGGATGTTCGGTAGAAGATATCTCATTTTGTGGAGTCGGAAAGTAATCCTAAGACTGGAAACATTCCATGTAAGCACGCACTCGAAGCTTATACAAATTTGTCAGATTTAGTGATAAATCACCTCGACGAACGGATCCGAACGAAGGCATACAATCCGAACGCTTAAAAACTCGAATCGTGGATGAAGGATGGGAATCCCTGCAATGGTCTTTGATCTTTATTAAGTTGGTATCACATATTTTAAACAGAAAAATGATATTTGATCCGTATTCTATCCTCTTCTGCTCGAACCTTCTTGCACACTCGCTGTCATGCGTCTCTAGCTGATTCCTCTGGGTGGGATTCCTCGCGAGCTCAGAACAGGAGTGAATGAGCCAACGGGCGGATCCGCCATCGCCAGCCTTGCCAGCCTGCCCTGAATGCGATTCCGCAGGTTTCAATGAAAGACAACTAGTTCGTCCCCTGCTCGTTGCCTCCCCGTGCACCAACAACCTACGGCCTGAACTACAGCATCACTCTTGAAGCTCAGTGCAAATACTACGAAGACAGCTCTTGCCGTGATCCATTCGGCATCCAGAAATCGAGACTGGTAGTATAAGAAATTGGTGCTAACTTCAGATCTGGACTGAAAACTACTGAGATTGAAACCTAATTAGATTGTAATACCAAGATTTTTCACGATATGCTTCCAGCTCGACTCTTCGCCTTCACTAACCCCTAGTTCTCAGTGCTTCGCTAATGTTGACCCGGATATTCGTCTACAGGGATGGTTGAAACCATACTCCCCCTTCTGTTTCTTGCGAGATTTATTCGGAAAATCAGATCATACACAATGGGGTCGATTTGCAGTTTTTTCTAACGAGAAGGTATCCTCGAATTCGATCGAATTCTCCTCTGTACTGCGGTAGTTTGTCACATGAAACATATAGAGCCCATGACTTTCAGTATCGTGAAATATGTATCCTTTAGAGAAGTAGATGTTTACAAACTATGTCGATGTTGTATTGCAGCTCGAACGTCTTACTGCACCTACTAGCCATCACTACGCAGCAATTGCCTTCAATTACTACCTCCAATATCACCTGCATACACATTAGCCGCTACGGCCCTTTCCCGGCGATGCTGTACTCGAGATTGGGTGGACTGAGTCGGTTTCGGGTCAAGCCTGCTTTCACGACGTTCGACCCATACAAATCGGTCCCTGTAATCGGAATCTATTGAAAATCAGCGGGGTGTACTGGAACAGAAGCGGAGGACGTGGTAACACATTCGTTGCACAGAAGCGAGGACGTGATTACATATTCGTTGATTGAATGCAGAAATCATTCGACAAATCGCCACCTCCGAGCTAGCGTCCTCCGCCACAGCGAATCCGGGACAAGAAATGCTAGACGAAAAGGCCGCCCGGTCTCGTCTTGGGCGGGAACATCGAAACGCGAAACCCCGGGTGACGGTGAAATCAAGGGTTACATACGAACGGTGTCAGCCCGGAAACCATACTTGTTGTCCTAGCCAGAAGCTTACTTAGATAGCAGCCGCGACTACACGAAATCAACTGCATCCTTACATCCTGATTAGTTAATCAGGGTTAATCATCTTTTAATCTCCTTTATAATCTCAATATACATTGTAAATTGATATATTTAAATAATTTATTCTATTTTATTATTTTTCGTTTTTTCTTTGCATGTGCTTTTTTCTCAGAATATAATCAATTATTTTCAAGTTAAGATGAAGAATATGGTAGATATGAAAAGTAGAGAAAAATTGAAAAATTTATCGTTTAGAACTCGTGTGAAAACCAACCACCTGTAAATATTAAAATCGTTTATGAGTATTTTGGATAACAACCATATGCCAAGGGTTTGTCACCATTGAGAACATATTAATCAATCTAATATAGAAGAGCTGAAGATTAGTATTAGTATTCTTTGTTTTAAGAAAGGATACTAATACTATTCTATAGAATCTTTAGTATTAGTATCCTTTCTTTGTTTTTTAATAGAAATGAACTGTATAGCTCAAAGAAAAATTCTAAATCTCATTGTTTTCAAGTTAAGTTGTTACAATTGTAACAACTTGCGAATCAAACCTCCAAAAGGATGGTTCACATAAGTCAAGATTTGTTCTAGAGAGTAAGAGAGATTCTATATATATATATAAAACAGTGCATGTGTCCACTTCTGCTGAATAGTAAGTCTTTTCCAGAGTTGTTTTATTCTCCACTTGCGTATATCATCCTGTTGACCTCTATGTATCTTACATAATACACTGGCTATCATCAAGAAAATACAACTGTCTATGACATCTACTTACACGTCAAAAGAAAAATTTTCTGTCAGATTCCATCAACTTCATCCTTATGAGACCAAAAAGGTTGCCCCAATATGATTCTCCATTTAAGAATCATCAACTGGCACTAGGTATTTTACTTGAATTACTTTACCTCAAATACAACTCTGAGAAGCATTCCATGTTCACTGAAGAGAACCTCTGGGTTTACGTCTACTGTGCGTTGCAAGAAGCAAGACGGTTGAAGGACCCACTCCGATTGTAGCCAGCATAATCATAGTTCCTGAGGTTTTCATTATTCTACACCTGTTTTAGCGACAAACTCAAGAGGAAGCAACCTTCTCGCATGTATCACCATGTCGTATGTAAGTGAGACTTAGTCCAGTCTTTGCACCTATAATAACTTAAAGAGGAACTTTGCGCATCAGATTCTCTACCTTCCTATCCAGTAGATCGCTAGTTTTGTAATCTACACTTTTTGGTTACAAACATATCATCATAAAAGTTAGACTTCACTGAATTGTTTCCAAATATCAGACATTTGGAATGAATGATTGGTATATATACCTGATTTTAGTCGATAATAAATATTACCGGCTTGACTGGCATCAGAAGCCAACCTCGCAGTAAAGTTAATACACTTAATTAATCGCGAAAACGATGGACCACGTCTACAGACATTACTGCACATGAATTTACATGATCTTCGTTGATATATGAATTTTCTGCATTGATTGCACACGCTTTTTACCTCGTTCATAATAAAAAAAGTGTCTACATGCTTGAAAATAAACCTTTCAAACGATACAACTTGTACATTGCTTGCAAGGATATGAAGACCCATTCGCATGTGACTTGATGTGTGAGCTTAATATGACAATTTTTTGGATTCAGTGAAGTCAGTGATCTTGAAATGATGATCAGATCAGTTTTCTCTTAGAAAACGCTAGGTGCTCCAGGGGAGAGACTTGAGGAGGAAATTGGGAGTGAGATTATGAAGGTTGGCTGGATGTGACAAGTTTTCAACTTTGTCCCGCAACAATGCAACTCTACGACGTGATAAACGAGCAAGATAACTCTTAGCACGGACGAAGTCTGCTCTAATTTAGTGTTTGACGTCTAAAGACTCTGAAATTGAAACTTTGCATGTGCTCACATGATCCACTATTGAGCTAGAAGAAGCTAGAAGAACATTCATACCAGCAATAGAGAACCTCGAGTATTCATACAATCAGTACACAGGTTTTTCGACATTTTGTTTAGCAAATTACCCAAAGGCTGATCAGTTTGTTCTGAACCCACGATTTATGTAGAAGATTCTACCGAGCTTGAAAGCAAGAATAAAAGCTTACCATATTTTGTCATCCAAGCTGAGTACCCATATGCCACTAAGTTATCAAGAAATATTCACTTGCTTGAATACAACCTACATTCGAGGAAATTGATTCCATGAATAAAGACTCTGAAATCTCCGCTGTCAGTGTGACGACATCGAGTGTATAGTCACATTGATGCATTCATCCACACATTCTGTTCGCTTGCACAACAAAGTCAAGATTCACTCCCATCTTCTAAGACCATTTTCCAATCACACAGAATATGAAAGAACGCGCTTCTTCTGTTTGCATGTTGTCGTTACATCGACTGCTCACACGATTCAACGACAAGATCTGATTGAAGACGATGCCTGTTTTCCCACGCGCGCTACCACTGTAGGGTCTGTTCCCACATGGATCTTGATGCATCTAGATTCGCATTCGCCCAGTCCAATTCTAGATTCAGTTTTTCACATCTCAGAGTACTTCAGATCTGAAATCTGCCTTTATATTGAGTTAGATGATGTTTTGCGTCCAGATCCCTCCATATTTGATGCGAACTAGTCTTGTGGTGTTCACCTGCAGAGCTATCAGCTTGTCCACTCAGTTCGAGAAGTTCGAGAGGCCTTTGTTGTGTACCGAACTGAGTGGACAAGCTTGAAGTTTCCGATCTCCTGACAGGGACTCTACGGGAAATGAAGCCATATATCAACTCTGAGACCGACGTTTCCTCTCTCTCACCTAATCGAAACTAAGAGATGTTTCTACTGATAATCAGGCAGAAGCAGAACATCTTTCCGCCATTGTCCCGTTCTTCTCCAAGCTCGGCATTACGTCCAGTGACGTTGGTATTAAAATTTCAAATCGCAAGGTGAGTTGGTGCTGACATCATTTACATCATCACCGTAGCCTGCAGTTATTCAATCCTACTATTTTTCAGAATTTTTGCTCGAAATCACAGGTTATTCTATCTGCATAGCACGTCGTGGACGTCTTTTCGACCTTTTATGGACCAAAAGCTCTACGTTTCATGATCCCAAACATGTGCTGGCAGGTGCTACAGGAGTTCCTTGGACGCAGTGTGATCCCAGAAAGCTCTTTTGCGGCTGTATGTGTTATTGTCGACAAGGTGTGTGCTCGATCAATGATTTGAAGGCTAAAAATTCCGTTATCTGTCCATGAACACTGCTGGGACAAGCTTAGATGTTCACTCATGTTAATCCTGCCTGTATCTTTCTCTTGTTTAGATTGAGAAGATACCAAGAGCAGAGGTAGAGAAAGAGTGAACAGCGTTGGGTCTTCCCGCGGAAGCTGTGGATACAATTCTACGGGCTCTCACAGGTTACGTTCACTTGATGATCTTGAAGGTGCGTTAGTTTTTTCGCGATGCCAAATTTAAACTGATTCACGTCTTTTCAGTTTCAAGGAAATTCGTGTGTTCATAGTTTGATTCTCCCTATTTCTACTCTCATGTGGAAACTGTGCTGAATGACTTGAAACGATTTTCTCATAAACTGGAGGACCGTAACAGTATATTAGTCAGAGCACTGCTTTATTTCTGATGATAAGATTTTTAATGCTGGTGCAGAACTTTTAGGGTCAGACAACGAAGCAGTCGTAGAATTGAAGCAACTTTTTGAATTGGCTCGAGGATATGGTTTTGAAGACTGGCTGCAGTTTGCTGCTTCTGTGGTCCGAGGTCTCGCATATTACACAGGAACAGTCTTTGAGGTCAAAGCTGAATCCACTTGTCTTTACCTTTAGAGCAGGAGTTTGTGCCTTATGACTAGGATATGAGCTGCTCATTATCTATGTACTTACTCTCGACTCAAGTTATGGTACTCCAGGATGTGGTATTTACCATGACCAATTCTGTTCGAATTTTTCAGGCCTTTGACAGGACAAGGAGTCTACGTGGAATTTATGGAGGGGGCAGATATGACAAACTTCTGTCTACATTTGGGCGAGTAAACACTCCTGCCTGTGGATTTGGCTTTGGGGACTCAGTTATTGTCGAGGTGAGAACATAGAACTTAGTTATTGTGTACAGATGTAAGTTACTTCGCACATTCTCTTTGAATTCTTTTGCAACTAGAATCCAGGTTCTCACCGTTCAATTTTATTCACATCGCTTGCGGTACCCTCCATGCAGATGGGACAGCTCCTGCTTCAACTATGCACAATCTTCCTGCGTTCCTGGTAATTGCTCATGATCAGTTTATGAGCAGAGTACTGTGGGTCGCTCCTCTTGCACCGCGCTAGTCTCATGCCCAGCACGCACATGCACTGAAGTTGTTGTTCTGCGAGGGAAAGTTCAGATTTCTCTGAGTGAAGGCGGCGTGTGAGGAGGGGGACTCTTTTAGGCTCGGATTCAATTTGCCTGCGCATGCCAAGGAGCAATCGGTTCTTCTTCTCTGAAAGTGAAGGGCAGAATGGAAGGAGCCCGTGCGTCCATGCTCAGTCCCGCGGCTGAACTTGCCGCATGGGGAATGTACTCCGCAGAGGAAGAAACTGAGTTTCCTCGTCTTGGACAGTGGAAGGAAACTGAGTCTCCTTCCGATGTCGAAGACCTTATACGCCGTCTGGGAGAGAAAAACTGGTCATACTGGAGTACGAGAGATTCGACTCATTCATACGTGGCCCAATACCCCACATTAAGCCATCCAGAACTTGAGGATTTCAAACAATACTGCATAGTAGGGCAACCAGAAGTTAAGGATTTCTTCCGGGCGGATGCAACGCTTTCGACGAACATAGAGTGGCGATGCCAAGTGCGCCTTCGAGTGCTGGAGGCAATCGGTAGCTACATCAGCAGTTTTGACGAGCTGGACCCAAAAAGAATTTCTGGCCATAATATATCGACGTTGACCGCTAGCGAGTGGGAGGTAGTGTTGAGAGGTTTTAGGTCCAGCAGCGTTCTACGATGGATGATAATTGATGAACTGGATTGGAGGTCCGAAGCGGATTTGGAGAGCTTGGGTTTACAGCTGGGGATAATTCTGAATACCTCTAGTGTAACGGATTTGAGAATAGTTGATTTGAGCAGATTGACTGCGAGATTTTTCTTGAATCTCGCATCAGGACTGCGAGAAAATTCCCACTCGAAACTCAAGTCTATACAACTAGGTCGCGACTGGGGGAACGCAAACGCGGTGAGGTTTTTCGTTGAGGTGTTGAACGGTCAGCATCAATTAGAAACTTTGAGTTTAGGCTCCAAATGGGATTGTTATAGAGAAGACTACGTGGACGAGGCGGCCATTCGGCTAGTGTCCCAGGCTTTGAAGCAGAACTCGTGTTTAAAAGAATTGGTTTTGCAAGGATTGGAGGGTGGATGTGCCGCCTTATTGTTGAACGCATTGGCCGGAGATGATGGCAACCGATCGATTGAGCAACTTAAGCTGAAACGCATGTCTGGAATCGGGAAATGTTTAGCAGAAGTTTTCATTTCCAATCGATCATTGAGGGTAGTGACGTTGCGCCGCATCGACATGCATGTGGAGGAATGGCGCTTGCTAGGCCAAGCGATACGTGACAATGCCACAGCGACAACTGTTGACGTAGGGGATTATGGATTTGGAATATCTCGTTTGAAGGAACTAGAAGAGTTTTCGCGCGCTGCTAGCTCCGAAGGGAAGGAACCCTCGTTGCATCTTGAAACGTGTTAAGATGAAGTTGATATAATGTCAGCGCTAAATTTTTTAGATTTTTTAGGTAGTGTACTGCGAGGGGAAATCAAGTCTGTAAAATCTCTTAGTCTACAGTTAGATTTAATCACTCTATTTCGCGCAATCGATCTATATCGCGCAACGAGTATAGAAGATATTCTTCCGATCAATAGAATAACTGGAGAAACTTCACGTCTGAAGAGACTGCACTTAAAGTTAGGGTATAGAGGTATGGCGTTGTGTAAGCATCTGTTTCAGTGCTTGCGCTGGAACACAAGTGTCACTAGCTTGTCTTTGGATTTCAATCCATACGAAGAAGATATAAGAGGTACGGAGAAGTTGTTCAGGGACCTGATGGCGCTGTTGCAAGTTAACTTGACTCTCGAGGAAATAGATCTCCCCAAGACCGGGTGGGCAAGGTACGGGTGGGCAAGGGAAGGAAAGGCGGCGCTGATTGAAGCGGCCCTCAAGCAGAACCGGGAGCGGGCCGTGTACATGTCAGTATTCACTGAAGCCAAATTACAATTGGGAGATGCAAAAGCTGGTCGACTCTTCTTATGCGGCTCTCCTAGAGCAGGTATGGTGCTCTTCAATTTTTCCTTTTAGTTTCTCAATGTGTTCAAACGCGCAATATAAGGTCTTACTTTTTTTCAATGAAAATTCTATTTCTTGATTTATATATATATATATATATATGTTTGTAAATAAAAACAGAAATAGATGAAAATAAAATCATACCAAGTTCCAAATGATCTTGTTTCGATAGTTTTTATTCTTTTGAAATATTAGGAAAAATCTTCAATCCAATTTATCTACACTATATTTTTAGACAATCTCATGGCAAACTATCTTTCAAGATATTATAAGCAACATGTGAATTTTATTCGATGTACAGGCAAGACTCAATTGCGTCGAACTCTGATGAAGATAATTCAAGACAAGAGCTGGTTTGGAGAGATATTGGAAGACTTGTCAAGAACCAAAGGCATTGAGGTGGAGTTTTTGCAGAACGATGACAAAATGCAAATCTCAATATGGGATCTTGCTGGACAACGGATTTTTCGTACCCTTCAAAATGTACTTTTCCCTAAAACCAACAACTTTTGTGTTTTTCTCTTCATCTATAGCCCGATCTCTCAGGAAACCCTCAAACCAGACTCTTGTCTCCGGATTGAGTTGGAAGGCTGGCTGACTTTCATTGCATCCAGCACGAAAGTCACGGGCCATAATCTTCCACAAGTTCTTGTTGTGATTTCACACAAGGATAAGATGGCATCCAGCTCTTTGACTTGGGCTAACTCCATAGTAGAATTACTCAGAAAAAGATTTGCAAACTATGTGGATCTTCGCCCTTTTCAAGACTTTCTTTATGTGGATGCTCGGGACAAGAATCAAGTGATTCCTCTCAAAGAGCACGTTTTTTTCATCTTTCAGGAGTTGTTGAGTCAAAAATCTCCCCGGGTTCCCCAATTGTGCTATAAACTCTCTTCCCTTCTGCTTTCAAACATTGATGAGAACAAAACTTGCCCCCTTTGGTCATTGAAAAAGTTTCATAATTTCTGTTATCCCAGCTTGAAACAACTCAATCTACCATCTTCTGTTGATCATTTAAGATTATTAAACTCCCTCCTATCCTACTTAAATGATGTTGGATCCATCATTTATATTCCCAACTTTGATCACATCGTTGTGGATCCGAACTGGCTTACAAATTCAGTTTTGGGCGAGCTGATAGTTATGGGTCAACACTTTCAAGCTCAAGGGTCCAATGCCTATGAGAAAACTATGTCAAGTGACACATACACAAGCAAGGACGGATTTGTGAGCGAGAGTGTCTTCGTTCGATTGATGGAAACGTTTCTGGCAAAGCAACCACGCCTTCAAGATGTTAACATAGAGATCCTTGAAAAGATTCTTTTCAATTTAGATTTGGGTTTCAAGCTCAAAGATTCTTCTCAATATTTCATTCCCTCCTTCATCCCTGAGTATGCAAGCATGGAAGAACAGAAGCAGCAAGAAGGGGCGCGCGTGGTGTCGATGTCATGGGACTCTCCGGCTGCCGACCATCCAAAGTTTGTCGGCATTCGGATTCAATGCAAAGATCCAAAAACAATGTCATTGTCTGCTGCGTTTTTTCCACGTTTTCAGGTAGGTTGAACCATGAGAAAATATTGAATTCGTCAACTTATGATTGCAATTTGCGTAAGATGAATTCAAATTTTCTTTTTCATTAATTATATCAAATGAGTAGAATGTCTCACTCAGTATTTTATTTTTATCATTGTAGATGTTCATGAGACGCAAGTTGATATCCAAGATGTCTGTGTCCATGGAGACTGTGACATTCTCTCGAAATTATCTGAAACTTTTTCTTGATGGTCACGAGATTTATGTGGAGCACGTTCAGAGTGAAAAGTCTCACTATTACGTAGATGTTCTGATGTTATGCTCTGAGCATAAGTCAAAGGAGGCGGCCATCAAATATGTTCTGGACAATATTGTCCAGGAGTTGATAGCATTTTGCGCAACACCCAATGGCTGTCCTGGCGTGGCGTTAGTGCTCGGCGTTATCCAAACAATTTGCGTGGAGGAGCTGATTTCGAGTCATCTCAGAGGAGCCATTCTGATTGAGGAGCTCAAATCAGAGTTATCTAATAGCATCAATGACAAACTTGGGGATATTGCGTTGGATAGTCTGCAATTGGTGAAGGAGGAAAAGTTGCTCAACTATGAGCATACTTGGCCCCCGATTCAAGCTTTGCATTTAATCCCAACATTCGAACGGGCTACGAATCTGTTGTGGGAGAGAGATGTGGAAGCGGTTCTGAATGAGATCAACCTTAAGCGCAGTCAACAACTGGGGTCATTGCAGCAAAGCTTCATCAGCTTGAACAATGTTTTGGCTCAGTCTCATCCTGACTGCGAGAGCACGTTTAGCAACTCAAGTTTACCTCACATAAAAGACTGCAATCAAGCTTCAGCCAGCTGCTGGAGCCAGGCCAGCACAAGTGAGGACACCCAACTTATTATTTTGTCCGAGATCCACAGAATGCATGAGACAGTGAGATCAGTGGATGAGACAGTGAGATCAATGAAGAGCATTGTGCAGGTGCAACAACAACTACAGTCAACATTCACAACATTCATGTATAAAGTTGACAGGATCATCGGGTATTCAGAATCGCATCAGCAGTCTAAAATGCCCAAGCGACCTTACATCACGGACGATGTTGGCATTTTCTATAAGATGAGTGCAAATCTGCATATGGGAAAAGCCCTTCGATTACGCTTGATGTGTGAGTCCATCACTGGGTTTCACCCAGTCAAAGGTCAAAAAGGATTGAAGCTGCGTGTGGATCTGAAGAATAGCGGGTGGATTGCAAGGATTATTGACATTTCATACAAATTCCTGTATTATGGTGTTAAGGCTGGGACCCTCCTCTGGTTAGGCAAAGCTATTCCGCAGTGGGATGATTTACAAACCGATATTGTTAGGCTAAAAAGTATTAGTGAAATTGATTGTTTGGCAATTCATAATGGTGGGCATAGCGTGAAGCTGAACGAAGCATGGTTGAGGATTCAGCAAAATCTTGCGCCTCTGCTAAAAGATAACTATTCCAAAATCTTCAAGTTGTATCAGGTGAAGTACTTGAGACAACAAAATGGTGGGCATGCATGGGTATGCGAGGAGTGCATGAGAAAAGGGAGTCTTTATGGAAGTTTGACATGTTGAGATATTCAAGAGGTTAGAATGTCATTATGCAATTGACAAGCATATGTTTAGACCCTCCTGCAATATAAACCTTTGGATGATCTTCCTTATAGTTTTCCTTGGTACCGGCTTTTTGTAAATTACGTAATCATTTCAATCCGCGCAGTTACTCAAGATCTAGATGGTTCCTGATTGTTACTCAACTTGTCTCGATCAATGAGCAGATCAGAGCCGAAAGGACTGTCTGTTGTTGGGACCCTGAGATCCACATCACTGTAACGTGGTATATCTTCACATTGTCATGGTCTCCGTATGTTTATCTCACAATTTCAGCTGAGATTCTTGTGTGCTATCCTTCTGGAAACTCTTCCTCTCCTGCACAGAAATTAGACGAAAGATTCTAAAATCGTGGAACTGACGAAGCTCATATGCTCCAGAGAGACCCACATGGTGGTGCAGGTCAGTTAAACAACGACTTTTCACTGCCGTGCTTTGACGAGAGTGAAAGGAAGCTGAGCAAGAATAAATCTGTCACTAAAATTGGAGAAGAGCGCCATGGCTGTTGAAGGAATCTGATATATGTGAAAGAAGTATTCAATTTTTGCCACTTCTGAAATGCCAGTAGTAAACGAGAACATGCACTGCACGAGAACATGTACCAACTTTATTGTCTCGACCATTGGTTTCGGTCTTTAACAATCTGAAGAATATTTGAACTTTCTTCCTCTGGAAATACAACTGCACTGAAACTGGTAATTGTTAGCGAATCGTGAATGGAAATGTGAATTCTTTTCATTTTGGATCAAATTGCTATTTTAATTTCACGATGCAAGTCTGGTTTTATCGGTCTGTGAGGATGTAAAATCTGGATTGTTGCTGGTAGATTAGATCAAGTTAGGACCGATGTCTTTTCACGTGTACCTGTACCCCGGGTTTTAACATGATTTTCTGGATCAACATATGGACATGATTGAGCTCACGATTCAGAATCTTGAACGTCGTGAATTCTCAATGATGTGATGGAAAATGCTCTAAAGACTTCTCCTAGAGCGGCCTGAAAACATAGTGACGTGTTGTGAATAGACAACGGAGGGATGTTTTTTATCCACAGCCAGCCCCCTTGGTCCATGCATCCTATCGTCAAGAAAAGTTGACAGAATTGTACGCTACTCGGGACTGAGTCTCTTTTAATGGTGTATTTGTTTCTCCCATCATCAGATCATTTCAGAACCCCAAGCGCAAGCCGATTCTGCCAAGACTTAGAATAAATTATTTACATGGAATCACTAGTCCGCCCTCAAGACAAAAGTGGCATTCGGTTCACTCAATTTCTGGTAGAGTGCTATTCAACTCTCCCGCTGGTAATCAAATTAACAGCTGCCTAGATCTACTTTGATGATGATATCATTTGATTAGATCCTATGCAGATGCCTATTTTCACCACCTTCGACATTGGCTTCCGTTCACACTAACATGAGCAAAAGATTAGACAGCCACAAAGACATAGATAGCCAGGCAATCTGTACGAGGGCATATTATTAATATCATTTATGTAATTCCCATATCTATAGATCTTACACCTGGTTCCAGGTGTCGAACAAACTGGGAGTTTACGGTCACTCCAGTCCTTGAAGCATTCGTCAAGATCAACATTTTCCGCTCACTATGAAAATGTTTTTCGAAGACATCGGATCCAAGAGGACTTGGGATTCTTGAGAAATAGAATATACAGTCTAATCGTGAGGCAGATAAGCAGTAGTAAGTGGGTAGTGTAAGCGCTGACTTTGAACTTCGATGGCAGCTAGGACATGATGACGAGCTCAAGAAAATTGTATTTATTAATTATTGCCACGAGCATGTCTTTTCGATGGCTAAAAGTCGGATTTTTGAGACAAGAGTTTTCATATTATTCCCGCCGGGTAAAGCCATAGCGCCCATCTATCACGTCTGTATGTCGGTGACACGTTGAACCAATGATTCCTACTCCTCGATTCATTGACTGTCAGGTGCTTTGAACATCATGTACACGTACAAAGTTCAAGTAATATCTACAAGTGCCTGTTTCTGGTCATACTATATTAACACTTGAGCATTTTAGATCTCACGCACACGCACACAGATTTCTGTTCCACACCCAAATGATATCACAGTGATGATCAGCCATATGCGTGCGCACACTTTCAGCTTGATTTCCAGCACGATATTAACTTTGATGTTCTACTAATCACTTCTGCTCCTACTTTCGGTTAATCGCTGGCAATTCATTCTGAACCTTGATCATGAACCTGAATTGGTAGATCAGTTGTTAGTCGGATTGTCAGCTAGTTTATTAATTGGCTTAGATCTAAAGTGATCGATTTGTGACACATGCCTTCATATTAGATATAAGCATTCAGTTTTAAACTACATATATGTGTGAATCCGAGGTTCATGCGCTCAAGAGATCCCACTCAATCCTGAGTCCACAGAAATTATTATTGGAGAAATATGTGCGGTACCGTGCTGGAGCATGAAACGGAGATCTGTTGGCTTCTCGTGACTTCATGACCATGACTGTCGAAAACTGCGGCTGCTGTAGAGTGAGATCTCTTCCCAGTTTGGGCAAGTGGACCTCTGATGTGTTCACAGTGTATGTTTGATTTGTAGGTGCCCACGTGTGATGAACTAGAAACTTATTCCTTTGCGAAGTAAAGTGAAAATCTCCAAATGCCAGCTCTTGTGGTAAACTTCAATCGATGATAATCCTTGCTTTTATTGCAGTCCTTAGAGAGCAGATGATGATAAGATTAGAATTTTATTGACATGCGATCAAGTGGAAAAGTTTCTCTAGATTGAACTGCTGTGCAGCTAAACTGCCGGTTTTTTCCCTCGTCTGTGAGGAGGTTTCGTCAAGAACCATAGCCACTGTGAGCACCTGTGTACCGGTAATCAATCAAGATCTGAAGATACACATCCAGAACGGATATTGTTAAAGCAAGGCGAGCATGGCCGTTCATCACGGTAGTACATCTGTGCTGACGAAACAGAATCTGCAAAACTACTTAATCCGAAGGGAATGTTGCCATAACTGAATCGGGCTCATACAACGTACACGATTCTTTCCCAGCACAGGCAGATAGGGGCGCTAACTGTTTGACAGTGGAACGTGCAAGATTCATATTTTTCTTTAAATCTGATTCCAACTCTTCTAAGCTTCCGAAAATCAGGTTTATCCATCTTGCACGTTTTAGCTCAAAACAGTGAGTCTTCATCTAGCAGTAGCTCAGCTACAGTACAAAATGAATGTCGGTGCTTCAAACCTTCAACTTCTCTGAAGTAGAAGGTTTGAAGAGACAAGCTTTCAGAAGTAGCTTCGTGAGTTCTTCATAATTGTTCGTGGCAGATATTACATGTTTCCACACTCTAGTGGCTGGCTCCGGACCAATACAGGCAGATGATGATTTTTCCAGAACCAGATGCTGTACATGTTCAGCTCTGAAGGATTTTCACGTTCTAGCCATACTACAACGTGAGTTTAACACGCGGTCAGTATGGTGTGAATGCAGATTCACGGCAGTAACTTTATCTGACCAGCTACATTTTGAATGGCTGCTAGTAAACATGTTTCACCTGACGTACACAAGGTTCACTTGCTTAAGCTCTCAGTTTATTACAAGTCAAATCACTTTAAGTTAGTGATTAGAACCATAAAGCACATACTTCGTACTCCAAATAGTATGGGCACAGATACTTCTCACAGTACATGACGAGCAGTTGCAACATGTTCCAGCATGAGCAGCTACGAGTTACTGAAATTCCATGTGGCCAATTGGAGGCTTAAAATGGATTCAACGGCTCCGACATATGCCAGATTCAAACTCTTTCCTAATTGCTCACGTCTGCTGTCCGATCTACACAGACTACGGGACCATGCATTTACTCCAAATTTGAAAGCTGAAACTGAACTCAAAAACCATCCAGCGACGAGAAAGTAAACAATCGAAGATGCAATCCATACGTTGGTCTACCAATCACGTCGTTTTAAATGGTTGCTTAAAAGAGTAGTATATTGACAGCAACGTAGTTATGACCAGCGATTGATTCAAGCTTGCAAGGTACCGGGCTTGTGGGTCCATCGGGGAAGCCCAAAAAGTACATAGCAAAATCTCACTTAAACTCTTGGAGTCGAACACAAACATGAATCTCTCCTACACTGGTCGACCTTACTGACCAAAGATCCACACTCTCTTTACTAGTGCGTACGAAGATTGCATGAGGAGCAAGCTTGTTTAAGTACCTCTTTGACCCCCACTAACCGAAGCAAGGAAGTTCCCAGCAAAACCCCCCAATGCTAATATTTTTGGCGGAACACCACCTACAGACTGATCTCTAGCAACAACCAAATAAGGTGAGTCTAGAAGCTTCTCGATTGCATAACATTCACCTCACACTTATAGGAAAATCCGTCCTCGAATTTTTTACTAGTCAAACATGTCGACATAAGCTTTCTTTAATTTATCATGATTAACTCTATCCGGATATTATGTGACGTCTAAATTGAGCAAGGAATAAGTGCCGTTTGATGTGAAATCCTTGTTAACCTCATACGGTTTAAACCACTTGGGTAGTAGTTTTTTGTGAGCACTTCGGAAGTGCCGTGAGTCATATACTAACACCAAGTCGCCCGTCTTGAACACCTTCTTCTTTACCTTTGCATCTCACGTCTTCTTCATCTTTGCGTGAGCTGCCTCAATAGCCTGCCTTGCCCGCAATTGGAACTCGTCCAATTTGTTAAGTTGTACCAGCCTTCTTCGTTGCGACTCATCTAGATCCAAACTCGCGTTGGAAGCGGTGCGAAGTGTCATCAATTCATATTCTATTGGAAGTAGAGCCTCCATGCCATAGGCTAAACAAAATGGAGAGAATCTTGTAGCCGTTTTGAATGTGGAATTATATACCCACATTGCATAATGGATCTTGAGATCCCAATCACTCGTGTTTGCCCTAGTTTCCGCTTCCTTTGCCATCAAAGAACACAATATCTTGTTTGTCCGTTCTACTAGTCCGTTTGTACTTGGCTTATACATAGTCGTAAATCTATGTTTAATTGCTAAGCGTTCCATCAGATCTGCCC